CTGAAAGTAGGTCACTACTGGATGCATTGTCACTTGCCGAGCAGTGAAAAAAGCTCCTTTTGATTTCACTTTGGTATTTGATTTGCCGGTTTTTTTGGCAAAAATCCATCACTTGCAAGACTGAACCAGCTGGAAGGTTAGCTTTAATTTGCTTGAATTGTTTGTTCTGCCACTGAGCTGTGAAAAAAGTGCTGAAAGAAAGTGTACCCTTGTGCCGGCTTCTTTAATGTCCTTTTCAACCATCTCTTGAATAAGTTTAGTTTTTTACTTACCTTTCTCAGTTATCACCACTTTCTTTACCATACCATTATCACTATTTGTGTCATTTGTCCAACGGTTCCATGTAAGGATTTTGTCTTCAGGAATCTGGTTATAAAATTCCTTCAGTGTTTTCTCATAATCAAAACACTGATTACAACCACCATTTATGCATTTTTGCATCATAAAACTGTTCACTGTCAGCCTTTGGGCACAGCAAAATGTCGACAATATCATTTTCATTTGTCTTTTTACATTTCTGGTCAGGAGATACTCTACTAAGTGTCAAAAGTTTAAACCTTATGTTAGTACAGTAGGGGCAGCAACAGTAATCCCTGTGACTTAGGGATAGCAGGCGTACATTTCGTTTTTCTCAGTGCTGCGAACTTGCCAAGACTGACATTTTTATGATTTTCAAAATTATACTTCGCATGAGCAGTCTTTACAGATACTTGCATTGCATACCCAGGACCTTCTTTTGGTAGCAAATCTCTTCTGTGGAAGAATTCGTGATATGTCTTCCGCAAGTAAAACATCTGGATGCCTTTTACGTCAACTCTGCTTTTGCGCTTCAACATGGCCCGCTTTGCAAGGTAAAGTCGTGCTGCAGGCTTAACTGAACTGAGTTGAATTTTAGTACTCTTCTCATTATTTTTCTGTTTTGGTGAATTAACTGTCTTCATATCTTCTTTCTTCTCGACCATTTTCTTTTTCGCTAAATCATCCTTCAAATCATTTAATTTCAGATAGTTTCTGCACATATATTCACTTATAATAAGTAACTAGTTATTGCGCTTGATGCCCTAATATCTGCATGTCCTGTATCGTTGTCCGAAAGTAACCAGGAACTATTTGCCTGATTTTTTCAATTTGCCACTTTAATGGTCGGCACAGCGACACTTCTCTGAGAGGGTGTTATTGTTGAGCGAGACGTCTACATTTGATGTTGAACTTTCACTCTTTGAAATCATTGCTTTGTATATTATCAATTTCATCATACGAATTGAACAAAGGTGTTATGTAACCAATTGGAGATGGTGTATTTAAAGTGTAAACCTCTTAAAAGTTCAAAACATAATTCTCTTTGGGCCACTATTGACATTAACTTTCGAAATCTGTTTCAAGCTAAACGCTAATTAAAAAATGTTTTTGTACGTTTCTTCCCTCGTTGACAAATGGCCTTCCTGGCAAATGGAGCACTTCTCCAAAAAATGGGAAATCACCTTAAGGAAATCGTACTCAATTATTTTCGTACCTTTAAGGCATTCACACGACATGTTTTCGCACAGCCTTTCATCCCCCCCTGCTTCATGTGGAGCTAACAGAAGCAATTCAATTAAATATGTTTGCTTTGTGCTTCCGTTTATATCACCAAAGCCAGCAAGTAAATGTTCAGCAACCTTAAATACAGTGTATGTCTCAATGCAGATGATTGAACTGTTAAATGCAGTCCAGAAATATTTAAATAAATATCAAATTTAATATAAAGAATAAGTTGGAAATATATTTCAAGGCACTAAATGGAAAAGACATCTGATGATTACCTTCAGATGAAACTCCTTTGCTTTACCTTTGAATGTTGTTGCTTGTAAATGACAAAAGCGTTCATGAAAGCTGGGTCAAGGGCCAACCAAGTGAAGTTTGTCCACCAGCGTGTGCCAGATCACTCTGTAGACAATAATTGCTTTAAAGAGGGTGATGTCTCTGGACTCCATCCATGTATTTGTTGAATTCAACAATGGTCTCCGTGTTTTACTCTATAAACCCTCTTGATTTCTTTCATTTCGCTCAACAATGCGTTCTCTTCCGTTAAAGAGAGGGTCATAGTAACTCTTTAAGTTGAACACATGTTTTTTTTATCTCTCCATACATTGGCAAGAAGTTACCCGTCTTTTGGCTGCCTTGCCATTGATTCACCACGCTTCAGGCTTCGTACCTTGTCGTCCTTTTTCTTCTGTTTTGATACTTTCAGACGTATGGGCCCATATTTCCTTCCGGTATTAAACGAATTGGGCCGGTATGTTCCCTTTTCATGTAAGGATACGGCCAGGGGTACGAATGTAGAAAACTTATCGATGAAGACTGTATGGTGTCTGTCTTCGATCCCTTCTACCAGTGTCTCAATGAGACTTTTTCTTAGCCATGTATCCTTTATCTCCTAAGATATAATGGCTATACATGAATATATAATACACATAAGAAGCTGAGAATAAATTTAAATAAATGATATAAAGTTGAGATTATATCCGCATTATATCTTCGTGTTTCATTCTCGCTTGGAATGCATACCTCAAAAACCCTGTCGAAGAATAGATATAAAGATGTAAAAAAAATTAAAAATATATAATTATATATATTGTAATCAACACTTAAACACCTACATTGGTGTCATATTTCGTACTTTAGCTGTAAGGAAAATACAAAGTCATTAATATATTTAATACGCGTCTACTGTACCTCTTCACTTCCCGTACACTTAACCTCGTCTAAAAGTATTGGTAATGTTCCTGCGCCGAAGTGTGCACCGCTGCAGTTGGTACTTAAATGATTACATAAAATATTATTAAATTGTCGATTTTATGTGTTACTTCATTCAGTAGCTTAAATTCAAACTGTTTATCGCAGACAATAATAACATTATAATTATAATATAATTTGAGGATCAAACGGGAAATCAAATACTCCTATCAGTTATTCTTGATTCCCTGTTAGGCAAATACATTTGAAAAGTTGTCTGTCTTCTGCTAGTAAAGAGTTAAAATAGTGAAGTTAACAGGAGCTTATTTTTGGTTTAGGACAACTTAACAATTTGTAAAAAATTGGTTTTATCTGTTTTAAAATTCAGCCATAAGCCCTTCTGTTAAATGGCCAACAGGTGTTTGGTAGGAATTCACCTTTTGACCAGAGGGCTTTCTTTTTGTTATTGGGGCATGAAGCCGTTGTAATGGCGTTGTGGACGAAAGGTTTGCAGTGTTGTAGTTGATGTGCCCGTACCCAAAATTCTGTGTGCATCCTATCCCACGTGATAGGTGCTTGTTCCCTCAGGTTCCTTAATTGATAGTCATAGCAAGACCGGGCATTACAATTGTTCTTAGCCGCTAGATCCCGTAATTATTCCCTAAACTTCATTTGAGCAGGGACTTCTTGTGGATATTTTGTTGCATAAATGTCTATAAACCTCATAAATGCTGTGGTCCATTGCTCTATGTTGTAAATTCTTTGCTTTTAAACTAATGGAATTAGATTTAAATTGCCATTCAAGCAGTCAAATTGCAATTGTTAAAGGGATGTTTATGTTTCCTGATCATGTGCGAAAATTATTGGCAACAGTGACCCAAAATATAAAAATTTGTTCTTCCAAATTTTCTTTTGTATTCGTTTTGAAATTTGGGAACATATCGGAGCATCGAAAGGAGAAAAGGGCTATCCTTTGTTACCTGTAAGCTTTGTTATATTAGAATCGAGCACTTCGTCCAATAAACTGTCATCACTATCCGATTTCTCTGAATTTGCATAATTTACGTCTGATGGATGACTTGTGCTTAATTTTCGGGTGGGCGATTGTGTCCTTTTCATTTTAGTTGTTTGAGTACAAGTATGCCCTCTACTCTAATGCCCTTGATGGGGGATTAAGTCATTATTGCCTGTTTCCAGGTTGTTAGCTGATTCATTTTCTTCTGAGGCCTAGTCTTAATCAATAATGTCAGTGTTCACTACAGCTGGGGCCTTGGACCGGCCCTTTCGGGATCTCTTCGGTAGTGAATTTTGGTGTTTTCCACTGTCAACTGAACTTTATCTATTTCGTAGCAGAAGCTGTTTGTCTTTTACCACAACAAGTCCTCGTCACTCTCAGACAGAGAGTTATCTTCCAATAGATGGACTTTTCAATATCCTTTTTTGTTTACCGGTATTTTTTTTAAATGTCCTACTTTTTAGCTCGACCTTTGTGATGGCTTTTCGTCTTTAAGACTTGCCTTTAGTTCATCTAAATTGATTAAATATGTCTTGCTAGTTCCACAGGAATACTTCTGTTTATATTGTTTTCGTATGCTTGTATGAATCTATGACATGCTTCTGTATACATCATGGACACTATCAGTAAATTGTGCTCATTCTGAATTAAGCGTTCATTCATGGAATGCGCAGTCTCTTCTTTCATATCTTACCTGAAATAAAATGTTTAAAATAATTTCAAAAATACATTAGTTGTAATGTAAAAGGATATCCATTGGAAACACAGAATGTAACAATGCAATATAATAATAGAAGACTGGGTTTGATAAGAGTCTATTTATGGGATGTTATGAAATATGCAACATCTCTCATGCCACACTATCATTGGCACATTGGTATTCTATTGTTATAACATGATCCTAAAGGACCAGACAATATAAAGACACTGATTTTTATGCTGGGGCATTTTACGGCCTCCATACGGACATTTTCAGACTGCTGTTGTCATACTTTACATAGTATTTGCAACTGTGGCCCTCTCTTTTACAAAGGTAAGAAGATCATCAAATAATGGTTCCATTCCCTGTTCAATTAAGCGGGTTGCTCGCTCGACATATTTCGACCTAATATTAAAATCTGCGAACAATATTTCTAAGATTTTCAGTGTTATTAAGATCCGGCATGAACCGTACTTGTGATAAATTGATCTGACATTTTTCCATGTCAAGAGACAGATTCATGAGACCCTATATGTCATTATTTTTAATACTATTGCCTTTGATTAATTTCTAAACATGTGATCTTGCAACTAAATGTGGCTGACCATACCTAGATTTTAATATCGGTTTCGCTCGTTCAAATCCCTCCTCGGTCGGCAACACAACACAATCCTCAATACTACGCTTAGCGTCACCTTGACAAAACTGAATTAAATAGCTTAGTTTTAACCTATTGTCATTTATCCTTGATTCTATATTTGTCTCAAAATTACAGATGAATTGACTAAAATCCGCCGGATTTCTATTAAATGTAAACAGTTCGGGTTTTGGCAGGTTGAGACTCTCCTGCGCGCTAACGGTCATTGCTTTAAGTCCTTGGAAAAATTGTGCATCACAAATAGGTCCTTGTACAAGTGGCTCCGTCTCTGTAGTAAGCTTTGTCTGTGTGATTTGATCAACGTACTCCTGCACTCTTTCCTGTGATCTTAATGTCTTTTCAGGCAACACGGATTTTCGAACGCGTTCGCTCGGGCTCGAACCAGAGTCACTTTCATCATCCAACTCGGACCTCGCTAACTGGTCTTGAACTGATTGCAGTTCAAGTTCTCGCTGCAACTCTGCCTGTTGATTATTCAACTCTTGCATTTTTCTCTGCAGCTCGTGACGTTTTCTTGTCTGATCCACCTTTAACTCTGCAAGCTGACGTCTTCTCTTCGAGGATGATCTCGAGTTTTCAGTTAATTCGCTTCCTCCATTTTCACTTACTGAAGATGCCAAACTGTCCTTATTTGCAGCAATATATTCTTGGAATTGTACTAACAATGAGTCCAATTCTGCATTTGTGACGTCGCGTGAGCGTTTTTTTTCCATATTGTTCTTCATGTGAGAATATTTCTAGACTGTCATGTTTCTTTCAAATTCAAATTCCTTCCAGCACTCGTTCATTTCTTCCCTTAATTCACGTACATACGAGATACTGTCTTTCTCATTTACGCGCAAACTTATACCCTTCGAAAGTTTAGCAAGCCTTGATTTACATCTTTGTAATTTTGCTCTTCTCCGCAACGATTGGGTTCTCTGTCGAAGCCATATTCACTGATGACGAGAAAAATCTCAATCTGTAAGGTCACTTTAATAGTGAATTACGCTGATATAACTGTTCAATAAGTTTTCAATAACTGGGGTCAACAATTTCAAGAAAGCGTTCAATAACTTTTCACTATCTGGGATGACCTTCAATATCCTTCTCAATATCTGGGATTGATTATGTTCAATAACTGTACGGGACTGTCCGTGCACGGCGCAGTCGTAAAAGTCGTCAAAGTCGTTCGTGGGATAAGTGAAACTCTGCATGTAAATTTGTATCTTTCCCTATATATAAATATTTTTGACTACAAAAATTTCCACAAAAAAGCTAGCAAAACGGTTATTTTAGAAATTTAAACCAAATTTTACAATAACATTAAATAAATTTTCATTAAAAACCCCAATAAGAAAAACAAAATTTACTTCGACTATAAAAATTTTAAAGTAAAATACCCCTTAAACCCAAAAAATACCCTAAACAAAAAATAATAAAATCCGTTTTCTTGACAAAAAAAAAAAAAATTTTTTAAATATTCAAAAGGGTTTTAAAAAAATTTTAAATAGAAATGTTTTTTTAAAAATTTAAAATTTAAATACTCCCAACTTATAAAAAAAAAAAAATTGGGGGGAAATTTCCCCCTTGGAAAAAAAAAATGCAACCTTTTACCCAAAAACCACAAAAATATGAAACTAAAATTTCAAAAATTTTACATTTATCGGCTTCGCTCCCAAAAGCGCCCTTTCGAATGCGGCCCTTGGTGCCGATGTTAGGGGACTGCCTGATGATATTGTTCCTAAAAATTTTACAATTTTAATTTTTTAAACCAATAAAAATGTTAATTTTTATATAAAAACCTTTCCAAAAATTTAAATTTTCCCGCTTATGGATAGGGTCAAAAGAAAAAATTTTGAGAACGAAAATATAAACAAGTTTTTTGGCATATAAAATTTAAAATGTCTTCGGGACAGGCCAACAAAGGGGGAAAACCAAATTAATAACAAAAAAATCTATATGTTTTTGTTTCTCGACCCCCCTGCATGATCCCCAAGCCAGTTTTCTACTCAGGTACCTTTAAAAAAAATTGTTAAAATTTATAGAATAAAGGTAAAACATCCCCCGCCCGGGGAAACAAATTTTCCCTTAAAATGCAATAAAAAAGTAGAAAAAATTTTTTTAAAAATCCCCATCTAAAGAAAAAAGGGTTTATTTTCCCCACAGATAAAGGGACTTAAATAGAAACCTTTTAAATTTCCCATAAAAAATGTAAATTATTATAGCAACCATGATTTCCAAAGCAAATTTTAATTTTCCCATAGCACAGTGAATCAAACACCTGGGGGCTAAAGGAACTTTTTTAAATTAAGGGGCCAGAAATAACCTGCCAAAAATCTTCATAATAATAAATTTTACTTTTCCATGTCAGGGACAATTAAAATTTTCCCAGGGAGCCATATTAAAACCCCCATCTTTTTTTTTCTTTTTTATTTTACTGATTTTTGGTGTAAAATGTAAAAAGTAAAAAAATTAAACAATTTTTTTTTCAAATATTTTAATTTTAATAAGTGTAAAAAGAAAACATTTTTTTGTCAGGGAATTTTTTTATTACATAAGAAAAAAGTTAAACCTTTGTCTGACACTGTTTGTTTTAAAACAAAGTTTAAATTTTTTAAAAAAAAAAATTTTTTAAATATAATTAAAAAAATAAAAAATTCCAACCTTTTTTATTAAAAAGTGTCGGGTTTTTTAAAAAAATTAACATATAAAAATTTTTATTGTTTTTTTTTTCCCGGGTTTTAGTTGCAAAAAAAGCCACATTAAAAAAGCAATTTCCTACAATTATTTTTATTTTATTTAAATAACCTTCTCGCTAGATAAGAAATCTTTGGGTTAAACAGTCGTTCGGTTTCGTGCGGGTTGAAATTTTAACCCCAACCCTTGATAAAACAAAATTCTAACATTTAAAACTTTTTTCCCTATAAAACAAATAAATGTCAATCCCAATTTACACAATTTAACACATACGCCATCCAAAAAAAGGGAAGCTTACATCCCTTATGCGTCATTGACGATATAAACGAAATAAACGGGGGGAAAAATTTCCCTTCCCCTTAAATTCTTAAGGTTAACAAATTTTAAATCGATTCTTTCATTTTGGTAAATTAAGAAGGGAAATTTAGATTTAATTTTTTTTGCTTTGTTATTTTTAAATAAGTCGTTTTGTTCAAATATTGGGAAATAATCACCCCCGAAGAAATTTTCCCCCTTTCTTTTTACCAGGGGCTTTTAATTTTTAGCCTTTCATTTTTCAAACAACAATGCACTCAAAATTGATATCTATTTCCTAAACGGTTAGTTTTTGACTGTTCTGTTTAACCGAGCCTATCAAAGCTGGGCTCAGCAGGTTAAGGCTTAATTGTGAATTTCGAACCAAGTTTTCCTTCGCCAGGTGATATAATAGTCTCCGTCCGCTGTTATTTGGCTCCTTCATCTGTCTGTCCGTCCCACAATTTTTCTTGAGCATAACTTGAAAGTGTTTTTTTTTTTTTGTTTTTTGTTGTTTTTTTTTTTTTTTTTTTTTTGCTGCTGGGTTTTACGTCGCATCAACACTGTGTGGGTCATATGCCAACTTTCCAGCTTTACTGTTGGTGGAACAAACGGGCACGTAGGTAGATTGGCACTAGCGGTCCGTCAGTGATTGGTACACTCCAGTGCTCGTTTGGAAAGTATTTTTACCATCAAGTTCAAGCTTCAAAGGTAGATGGACTTTATTGAGAAGACCTGCACAGCGAAAAGATACCTAAGGGCCAAAATTTATTCAAAACTTTTTTGAGCTAAACATGTATTAAAAACCCTTTGTATTTAAACTTTTTAAAAGGGGGACGGGTCCAATCATTGAATTTCACAAAATATGTATTTTTGGGAAAAAAAACATTTTTCCTAAATCAGAAATTTAATTCTAAGTCCATTCCCCTTACACTATATACAAATATGTCCTTTGGGTTATTTTCAACTTTCAAAACTTTTTGAGCTGAGTGGGGTTACATGTATGACATCCCATTTGTTTTTCTTTTTTCCCTTTGTATTGTTCTTTAAACTTTTTCCATCTATGCAGAGGGCAAATACCTTTAGAAAATAACTCCCTGCCCAAATTTTCATTTTTATTTAATTAACTAAAATTCCTTAAAATTTAAAATAAAATTTAAGACCTTTATGAAATTGGTAAACATTGGGCAAATTTTAAATTTTTAAATTGTGCAAATTAAAGAATTTTTCGGTTTAAAAAAATATTTCGAAATTAAGTACAAAAGTAACTGTATAACTGGTTAAGAGCAGTCTATGTTTAACATTTATGTAATGTTCTGCGTTATTTGTAACGTTCTGATTAGAAAGGTCGTCACTTTCTACCATTCTAGTCCATTTAGAACTATATGACTAGTATGTGAACAACACAACATGCATTAATAACGAAATTAAACTTGAAACTTCTTTTAAATTCATTAGTTATGATATTGCTATGATAATTTTGGCATAAAAACATGGGTTAATAAAGAAAGATGCACAGTTATGTCGTCTGCAAGAAGTCAAACAAAAGAGTGATTTACAAAGTCAGGAAGATCATTTATATCGATAAGAGACAAGATAGATCCTAAGACTGAGCCCTGGGGACGCCTAAGGAGACTGTGATTAACATATAGAACCATTAACTAGCAATTGGAAATGCGCTCATAAGGAAAAGAAAAATCCAACCTGCCTTTTTCAACGGGTTTAATCTATAAATAAAAAAAATACCAAAAATGTACAGAAAAATTTCATCTTATACTGAAATTTTAATATTTTCATTTAAAATTTAAAGAAATCTACATTAAACATCAAAAACTACGTTAAAATAATTAACACAATTAAAAGACATTTAATTAGGTCAGTGTCTTAATTTCAAAGATAATATTTAAATATTCAAGCATTTGTATTCAAATATTTTCAATTTTAGTTGGTATACATGTAAATTTCTTATATAAATAATTTATCATTTTTAGATAAATTTTATCAGTTAAAATTTACCCCCCTACGGGCCTCCGGTCTGCCAGATAATTTATAGTGTTCAAAATCAGTGAGAGTTCTCCCCCTTTTTCACGTGTCATTTTTGCAAAATAAGCCGGTTAGATCTGATGCTCCGTGTGCTTATTGGAAATAATCATGGTAATAGAATTAAAACGGGTGTTTATTAGTGACGAAATTGACCCAAGATGTGTGGAGGTCCTAAAGGAAAATGGAATTGAGGTTGTCAAAGATACAAAACTACGCACAGACAAGGAGAAGTTTCTTGCTGAAATTTCGGTACTTTTTTCTATATTTTATATCTGTGTTTTCTTTCAATTCCTTCGCTTCATTTAATATCATATATGCGTAAAAAGTATATTTAGCTCCCCAATTCTGACCATTTAACACCACTGTCTTGTATTAAATTTTTTCTTGCTGATGGGTGTGTATGATTAACTGTGAAATAGAATCACTGTATCGCTTACTGGAAATCCCTGTGGATCCACTGTTTACTGGAATCACTATATCATTTACTGGGATCACTGTCTCATTTACTGGAATCACTGGATACTGGGATCACTATATCATTTACTGGGATCACTGTATTATTTACTGGATTCACTTGATACTGAATTTATTGTATCATTTACTTGAAACTCTGTATCATTAACTGGATTCACTGTATCATTTACTGGGATCACTGTAGTATTTACTGGATTTACTTGATACTGGATTCATTGTATCATTTACTGGATTCACTGTATCATATACTGGATTCACTGTTTCATTTATTGGATTCACTGTATCATTTACTGGATTCACCTTATCATTTACTGGATTCACTGTATCATTTACTGGGATCACTGTATCATTTACTGGATTCACTGTATCATTTATTGGATTCACTATCATTTATTGGATTCACTGTATCATTTACTGGATTCACTGTATCATTTACTGGGATCTCTGCACCATTTACTGGATTCACTGGATACTGGGATCACTATCATTTACTGATATCACTGTATCATTTATTGGATTCACTGGATACTGGATTCACTGTATCATTTACTGGATTCACTGTATCATTTACTGGATTCACTGTATCATTTACTGGGATCTCTGCACCATTTACTGGATTCACTGGATACTGGGATCACTATCATTTACTGATATCACTGTATCATTTATTGGATTCACTGGATACTGAAATCACTGTTTCGCATCTCATCCAACAGTTATCCTCCTAAGTTAACATTCAAATAGTCAGGATTTGGATTTTAAATATAAATACAGTCAACATGGTTTAACGCATAACTAAATAAATGCTGATGTATGTCCCATGTACTGAATAATTAATGCAGATTACACAAAACTCTACATGCTGCGTCTGCTTTAACTAGATTGCATAAAAGTTGATATAAAGCATAAAACATAAACTCTACATCTACATCTACACCATACTGCTTGTAATTGTTTACGGTTACAGTAAGCAGGTATACATTGAATTGAATTGAGAGACAGCTTTGAGATACAAGGGAATCCAGGTACCATTCCCTAACTCTTATTGAATAGGCCCATTGGTTATTTTACATGCCCAGTGTATAGCACTGATACTTGCGAGGATTACCTGGATTTTTTACCAGTACACCTCTAGGTAGGTGAGAGACACTGAAAATATCTCTGATAAATCCCAAGGGTGTTGCCCTGGATCGAACCCAGGACCTCAGGAGTGATAGCCAGTGGTCTAACTAACTTAGCTATCGCTAACTTGAGTTGTTTACAAAATCTTGTACGTGTATCTCTAGGCCATTGAGGATTTGTTTAGTACAATGTGATTGCTTTATTCTAACTCTTGATATTTCTATACCATTCCAAATATCTAGGTGTTGTCCCCGTTTTGAGCTGGGCTATTTGAAGAATACAGGGTCATACCTACTCACTCTGGCCTTTAAGGTTTTGGTTAAGGTTTTGCATGTGTAACTTCATGTTTATATCATTTACAACTAGTATGTTAGTATTCACTTGAAATTTCACACATCATGTAAGGGTCATACTTGTAGGTCACTATGAGCCAGAACTATAACATGAACTTTTATTGAACTATTCCACTTTATGTACTTAAGAAATGTCCATAGGGCTCTGAGTTTTATACTTAGTAGAAAGACAATTTAGAATTTGTTTTACACTAGAAACATGTGTTAAAATTTATTTTACACAAAAAATATAGAATTTTAAAGATCTATCATAAAAAACAACAAAGTCAGCTTATTTTGAAGGTAATCAATTAAGCTCAAATTGTCAGTGAATTAAAGGCAAGGTTTGTGGGTCAAGCACTTTAAGTGAGTAAAGTGCACATAAGGTAGCTCTTAAGTAATGTAAGACTTTTTTGCACGTAAATATTTAATTAATACGAATGACCAAAATTTAAAAGATAATTAATCATAACTAGTGATAAAGTTAATTTTTTGTTATTTTCCATAATTGTTTTCCATGCAATTTACTTGTGAAAAGGAAAATTTTTAATTTATTTTGAATATGCATTTTTAAATTAATTTATACCAGTAGATCTACTGGGAAAATTTCCATTTAAAATGTATAACTTTTAACATTTTTTACAGAGTTGATATCATAATTTTTTCCCTGTACAAAATTAATAGGCACATAGTTTATTACATGTACATGCATATGGGAGAAGATTGTATTGGTTTTTTTTAACCTATACCATAATTATGTTTTTAGCCTAGTTTCTACATACATCTTTTACAGGCCTTTACCTAGATCCTAGTTTATTTTATGATGCTATGCTATATATGATTTTACCTGGGTCACAATATATAACTTTAAAGTACATATAAACTCATTAGCTTATTTTCATACAACCCTCTGCAAGTCAACATGTGTTGTACTACGCAATACAATTTGACATGTTCAGGTCACTTTAAACTTTGATTCATTGTGTGTTTTTGTTAACTCAGCTAAATATATCAGCCATGCGAATTTGATGGAAATTTACTCTTCTATATTAAGATCACCAGGTCATCTATAAATAGACTAAATTTTGTTGAGGCCCATACTGAGTGCCTAATGTTTATGATGATGTTCCCAAATATAAAAAAAAATTATTTTCTTACTTGAAGATAAGACAAGTATGAATTAATGATTAAATGACTCATAGATTGTAGGTTAAGATACAATGTACTATTACAATATTGATAGCAAACTTAAATTTATGTTTAAGAAACAGTGTAGCATGTATAAGATTAGATTGTTACATAAACTTATGCATTATCACGACTATGAGTGAAAGCCATGGCATACTTTTAGATAAAGTGTTTGCATAACAGTTAGCATTAGTTAGCATATACTTTTGTTTCCTTTACCAAGATGAGATAGGTAAAAAACAAATGTTAAGGTGAAAATATATGAATATTTGAGCAATTTATACTACTTTAATAAAAAAATTTTAAAGGCACATTGTGCCTCAGATGAAACAAAATAAGTTTTTCCTTAGACATGAGTATTTTGATGTTTATAAAGAATGTTTTAAAGCATGTTTCATGCTTATCACCTGAGAAATAAGGGCTGAATATAAAACTTTTTATCATAAAGGTAACAAAATGTAAACAAGCTAGGTAGTATTTTGACTTTCATATAAAAAACTAAACAATATAACTTTATTAATTGCTAAATCAAAGCAAGAGAATCAAAAGATGGTTCAGGTAATTAGCCAATTACATTAACTTGTAACCTTTGAGAAACTTTAACAGGACACCAAAAATTTAAAGATATCGAGAAACAAAAACAAAACAAAAAATTTTTTTTAGGCATAATGGGCCTTTAAATGTCCATATATGCTGTAGCAGTTGTGTCCCTTTAATATGTGCTGAGATAAAGTCATGTTAAAGATAGTGATGATTGATAAATGTTGATATTTGAAAGGTTTCTGCTGACAGAAATTTTCCAATGTGAGAAATAACACCAGATCATTCTAACATTGAACTTTAAATAGACATCAACGAAGATACTTTTGAAAGCTTTCAAGGATAACATTTTCAAGGACATAAATTTTAAATCAGGCATGTGTGTCCCAAAACAGTGATATGCAAATTTAATTGACTGATAGACAAAAAGCTGTTACTATAGATAGCTTATGCAATGTACCATTTCACATTAAATTGAATTGAAATTGAAAATTTTATCAAATGTGTGGGTAAATTCCATTCTCAGTTGTTGGAATTTGATTTCAGGTTTTGATATCTGGTAATGAAATGTTACCATTAATCATTTTCTGGTTGTCAGCCATGATGATGTGATCCCCTCATCTGATTTTCTTGTTGTCAGACATGATAACATGCTACCCTTCATATCTGGTTGTCAGCCATGATTATATGCTCAGCTCTCCCTTATCTCTACATGTCAGCCATGATTATATGCTCAGCTGTCCCTCGTCCCTACTTTTCAGCCATGATAATCTGCCACCCCTCATCTCTGGTTGTCAGCCATAATGATATGCTACCCCTTGTCTCTCGTTGTCAGCCATGATGATATGCTACCCCTTATCTCTATGTGTCAGCCATGATTATATGCTACTACCCCTCTTTGGTTGTCAGCCATGATGATGATTGTGCTACCCTTCATCTCAGGTCATCAGCCATGATTGCATGCTACCCCCAATCTCTTTTTGTCAGCCATGATGATATGCCACCCCTCATCTCTACTTGTCAGCCATAATAATTTGCTATCCCTCTTCTCAGGTTATCAACCATGATGATATGCCACCCCTTATGTATTATTGTACTTGTACATGTTAACTCCTGTGAGAGTTAAATGAGCAAGTTTGATGGTATTAATGAAAGTCACATATTTTATTATTTTTTTTTTTTTTTTTTAGAAATATGATGGGTTGATTGTTCGCTCAGCAACTAAAGTAACTGCAGATGTTATAAATGCTGCCACTAACTTGAAGATCATAGGCCGAGCTGGTACAGGGGTAGACAACATTGACTGTGATGCCGCAACTAAACGAGGGATAATTGTTATGAAGTATGTTTAGGTTAAGGTGTTATAACGCACCTTAATCAAGTGAGAAAAGCTTTTAGAATTTTCTTATACTGGTATGTAAAACTATTGCACGGTTACGGATAACGTTCTAAACCTTTAGTTTATACAAATTTATTTTAGTTTGATTGTGTTGGAAGCTTTATGCTTATTGATAACACTCATGAATCCGTTCCTCAAACCAACCAGTACTAAGCAATGAATGTAAAGCTGCTTGCTCAAGGAAACAACGGCTTGTCCCTGACAGGGTCTGAACCCATGCGATCAGCAATCCTTAGATTAGTAGTCTGACATGTTAACAACTAGGCTACGCCCCCACTAATTTTTGTTAACCTTTAGTGAGATTATATTTAGCTCACCTGAGCTAGCTGAGGGTGAGCTTTTTGGATCGTTAATGTCCATCATCAGTTGTCTGTCGTCCTTCCACATTTTTTCGTTAACACTCTAGTGGTCACATTTATGACTTAATTGTCAGCAAACTTGGTCAGGTGAGCGATCTAGGGCCATCTTGGCCCTCTTGTTTAAAGTTTATATGAAGTTTGAGATGGAAAAAAAAGAAAAACTGTGCATGGGTTAGGTTAGTAGCTATAATTGGCTTGAATCAATTTATTTTAGATAATGTTCAATGGGATAAAGTAACTATATAGATTTGTATATGTATATTTCAGTACACCAGGGGGGAACACTCTAAGTGCTGCTGAACATACATGTGCCTTGATGTGCTGTTTGTCAAGGTAAGGGAGACAACTCATAGTAAAATAAAGAAAGTAAAGTTTATAACATTTCCGTTAGTAATATATTTGATAGCATAGGACTAGTATAAAAAATAATTTTTGTGCCCCCACGTTAGTGGCGGGCATTTAGATTTACCCTTGTCCGTCCGTCCGTCCGTTCACTTTTGTGTCGCACGTTACTCAAAAAGTATTTGACCTAGAGTCATGAAACTTTACAGGAATGTTGATCAGCATGTGTAGTTGTGCACCTGGGTATTTTCGTCTGGATATTTTTAGTATTTTCAGAGTTATTGCCCTTGACTTAGTAAAATTTTGCAATTTTCAACATGTGTCACACGTAACTCAAAAAGTATTTGACCTAGAGTCATGTAACTTTACAGGAATATTGATCAGCATGTGCAGTTGTGCACCAGGTATTTTTGTCGGGATTTATTTAGTATTTTTAGAGTTATTGCCCTTCACTTAGTAAAATTTTGCAATTTTCAACTTGTGTCGCAAGTTACTCAAAAAGGATTTGAGATAGTCATTAAACCTTATGGGCAGGTTGCTCAGCATATTTAGATTTGCACCTGGGGTTTCGCTTGTGGATTTATCCAGTATTTGTAGAGTTATTTCCCTTGACTTAGTAAAAAGATTGACAGAACAGTGGCGCGGTGGGGGCACCTGTGTCCTATGGACACATTTCTAGTTTATCAAAGTTTTCAAATTGATTGGTAGACTTTTTAAAGTTCATTATTTTCAATTGGTAAAGCATATGATCAGTCAAAAGTTTTTTTTACCAGTTTTACAGAATGAAAAAAAAAACCTGTTAATCATAATTATAATAATGGCGGCTTGTTGGGGGTTTGGGGGATGAACAGTACCTTCAATGGGCAACATCTTAATGTCTTAAGGATTTTTCAAAGAAACTTCTTAAAAATCAAGAAAAATGCATTTTGGTTGTGTTTGTTGTTTTTTAACACATCTAAGTCGCACTTAAAAGAAATCGAATGCTGTACATGTTCCCCTCTGTTTATTGTAGAGATATACCAAATGCTGTAGCAACTATGCGAGCCGGAACATGGGATAGGAAGAGCTTTATGGGATCAGAATTAAGCGGGAAAACTCTTGCTATAATCGGGCTTGGTAGAATTGGCAAAGAAGTGGCTCTTAGAATGCAGTCTTTTGGAATGACGGTAATGTGTATTAATTTTGGATTACTTAAAATAAGGACACTCAAATCATATCTTTGTCTGTGTGAAAGCACTATAGAGTTAGTATAATACAACCCTACATGAAAACATTCTGAAAAATTTACTCAAATTTACCGTTAATTCTTGAAACATGGCAGTGGAAAGGGTACCTTTAGAACAGAAACAAAAAAGTAACAAGATGTTTTTGTTTCAATATGAAAAGTATAATGTAACATAAAAGTAATAGGTTTGCAACTTTTCATAGACAATTTGAAAATATCTGTAATAGACGGTTTCTAATATTGCAGGTCAAAGGCCGTCCGTGAATTTGGTTGAAAATTTAATCATAACCTGAAATTAAAAATTTTTCTATTTTTATTTTATCAGACAATAGGTTATGACCCTATTATACCAGGGTCAGTGAGTGCACAGTTTGATACAGAATGGATGGAACTGGAAAAGATCTGGCCCCTGGCTGATTATATCACTGTCCATACCCCCCTCATACCACAAACAAGGAGTAAGTTCCTTTCATTTTTGTTTTAAAATTTAGTCAATGAAAAATAAAATAATTTGGCTTCAGAGTAAGTTAGCTGTTCAGTTTTAGCATGAGATATTGACAGTAAACACCGCCAAATTTATATTGTTATATTCGAAAATTGTTATATCCGAGCGGCAACAAGTTAGAATACATGCAAGGGTATTTCAGCAACAGCATTGTTATGAGTGGTATTATAATCAATATCAAAATACTAAAAGTCATTGTAATTACCTTAGAAAACTCTCAATGCAAGGCATGTTTGATCAAATGGATTGATGACTTGAAACAGATATCTTTGTCTTAAAGTTGTATATTTGTCTTTAAGTTATATAAAAGGAGCCAACATACAAATTTTACAGACCGTAAAATATATCTATGTTTTGCATGGCAATAGTTTTTCAAAAGGAGCTGATATATTTAAAGTTTTTGAGACTGTGAAACATTAATTCAGTTTGTCATATTTGGTTCTTCAATCTTGTCTTCAATTCTGTTATTAAATATGCTAGAAACAGTGATCCCAAAGGACCAGAAAAAAAAGAAAACATTACTTATGTAATCAAATAATTGAGTCTGTAATTCACATGTCGTTACAGATTTGATAAACGAGGCTGTGTTTGCCAAGTGTAAGAAAGGAGTGAAGGTTGTGAACTGTGCTCGAGGTGGTATCATAGATGAAGCTGCCCTATTGAAGGCATTGGATGCCGGCCAGTGTGGCGGTGCAGGGTTAGATGTCTATGTTAATGTATGTATGATAACTGTTTGTTCATTATTAATGTAAAGGCATCCATTGATATTAGTTATGTAAAAGTGTCCATGGCCGCGTGGTTTAGGTCACTTATTTATAACCACTAGCCCTTTGCTGAGACCCAAATGGAAGATCTGGAAATAGAATTTGTAAGCCTTGTTAAAGGAAGGCATTACTTACTTACATTACTGCTGCGGGTTCGAATCCCGCCTATTGTGAGAAAGCTATTCAGCCAGGGCTACAGATAACATTTTGTGTATATTGGGTAATTACCCCTTATTTTGTGATCTATTGGGTTTTTTCTATTTTCTTTGAGTTATTTCTGTATTTTTTACCCTACCCCCTCCAACCAATTTGGGTTATAAAGTACAAGTTCATGCGTTTTACCCAAAATTTTTGACCTTCATTGTAGACATTTGTAGGTTTTGAACGGTAATAAAAAAGCTACTTACTACTTTGCTTTATGGTTTATTGGCCTAGGAGATTTCCAAGTTGCCCTATATATTATTTAAAGGTTAAAACAGTCTGAAACAGTATGATCTGCCTGATGTACGCGTTAAGTAATAATTTTCGTCATTACGCACCAGTTCAAATGTAGTTTGTATAAATAATAATTCATTTACTTTTTCTTACCCTTAGTTATTATTTCTATTGGGTTTTTAGACATTTTAATTGGGTAATAACGCAAATACGCATGTTATCTGCAGCCCTGATTCAGCTAGGTTACTGAATGTCATTGGTTCTACTTGGGTGCCTGTTTGTGCCTGAAATAATGCACAGAGGAGCACATGAGGTCGTATTCCACAATTAACGTTGGAAAGTTGTCATATGACTTATACAATGTTGGTGCGACATAAAATCCAACACTCCTCTACCCTCCCACCCCAACCTAAAATTTTTATGCCCCCACAGAGTGGGAGCATATAGCGTTGCACTTGTTCGTCCGTCCGTCCGTACGTCCCGAAATCTTGTGAACGCAACTCCTCTTAAACCGGATGGCAGATTTTGCTTAAACTTCCAGGGATGAACAACCTTAATGTGTAGATGGTAGTAAAGGAAGGAATTTTTGCTGCGACCAAATTTAACAGAATTATGGCCCTTTGTTGATTTTTACACTATATACTATGTAGAAATTTTGTGAACGCAATTCCTCTTAAACCGGATGGCAGATTTTGCTTAAACTTCCAGGGATGAACAACCTTAATGTGTAGATGGTAGTAAAGGAAGGAATTTTTTCTGCGACCAAATTTAACAGAATTATGGCCCTTTGTTGATTTTTAGTTTTCAACTTGTGGCACATGTAGTCCAAAATATTTGACCTAGAGTCATAAGATTGACAGAACAGTGGCATGTGGGGGAATCCGTGTCCTATGGACACATTTCTAGTTTTTTTCTCAGATCATAAGACTAGTGTTGTCCTTAAAGATATTATTTGCTTTCATTGTCAGGTAATAGCTCTAGTACGGCTATTTGCATCAAAATGTAAACAAAAGAGCTAGAATGTTAATTGATTTATGGAGGTATTCTGTATGGAGTATTCTATTTCAAGGTGATCATTAATAAAGATTTGGCAGCATCTGTACTAATCTAATGATGATGATAGGATTTACCTTACTGACTTACTGTTGAGCAGCTGTTGCACATATTTATGACACAAGATTAATGCATGTGATTATTGTTTTTACATCCCTTGTATAACTTTATCTTATTGTGCCATTTAGTGAATATAGAGTTACTGCCCTTGAATTAGTTAACAGTTAAGCAAATGGTATCAGATTTTGTTTAAAAACATTTTTATCTGAACCAGTCCAGAGTATGCCTCCTTGAAATAATCAGGACTAGTGTCATGTTGGAAGACATGCCTATGACCCAAATAGAGCTCAAACCCACGATCCCGAGCTTGAGAAGTATACATCATAATGTTTATGTACTTAAAATGTATAAAATTATTTCTAATGAAATATTTACCGGCAGTAGCGGTATAGTTCTATACACTTGAAATAATTATATACTCTTACATTACAGGAGCCCCCAGATGATTATACCCTAGCTAAGCACCCTAAAGTGATCCCCACCCCTCATCTAGGAGCTAGCACCGTTGAAGCTCAGAAACGTGTTGCCGTGGAGATAGCTGAACAATTTGTTGATGTGATGCATGGTAGAAGTCTGTTTGGTGCAGTAAGTATACAGTTCATATAAAAAGTTTTGCCTCATAACTATTGTTAAATATCCCTCACCCCCCTTGTTGCTGAGGGGTTACCTTAAAGGGTTTCTAGCTTACGGAACGTCGGTGGTTCTACACAGGTGCCCGTTCGTGCCTAAAATAATGCACGAAAGGGCACCTGAGGTCTTCCTCCACCAGGGAAGCTGGAACGTCGGGATATGACCTATACTGTGTCGATGTGATGTAAAACCCAAACAAACAAACAAAACCTTAAAGGGTTTGAGGCGTCAGAATTGCAGCCATCATTTATCACTGTAGGATTGTAAGAGGCGACTAAATGGGTTCGAATTACTGGAGTCTATGCATCTCTTAGCTCAAACAGGTGAGGTGGTTTTGGCCCCTGGTGTTGCTTTAAGTTTGTAAGACACGAGGTTAGCCAAAAGTCATCTATCCACTGCAAATAATAATTTTGTTTAAGGAAGAAAATCAGTACATTTTTTCATATAGTATTTGAACAGTCAGAAATTTGAAAACTGTTTCACTTTATGGGAAAACAAAACACTAATTTTTCCACAAGAAACATTTTAGGTATGGATGATTCGCTAAAAAAGCAGACACCAAACTGTAAGTTATGAAAGAAAAACACTACCTTGATTGGTTTTCTGCCCAACATTGACCACAAATAGTCACACAAATGGTATAAGCACCAGAGTCTTGTCAGAAGTGCACGCCGGCTTGGCTCTTTCCCGATAACATAGAACTGTTATAATTTTATTTGCAATACTGCTGGTGTAACTAGCTTTAAATGTCTTACCTGTTTGTAGATAAATGCTCATGCTATGCATAATGCATTAAGTGCCGATACTCAGCCATGGGTAGATCTAGGGAGAAGTCTGGGCAGTATATTAGCAAGGTTAGGTGTGGATCCCAAGAAAGGAGTCAGTATTACTTCATGTGGTAAGATGATTTCAGTTATTTAAAAGTCTCCCCGCAAGAATATGCATGTTTTTTTCTGTTTTTAGTGGATTTTGATGTGTAGATTACAAAAAATATAATACAAAAGTCCTGTAATATGTCCTTAGATAAAAAAAATACTTGAATTAGATAGTTGATTCTTTTTTTTTTTTTTTCGTGAACAGATAAAACTAAAACTAACTTGACTTTTTGCCATAAATATGTTCAATTTTATATTTTACTACGAAAAAGGAAAATTCTATGTGACCAATGGATATTCCTATAATAAGGATCCAAATGTATAGGTTATTCTGAATCCGTAATAAGAGAGGGGAAGTCTTTAAATAATTTTGGTAGGTTTTATACTGTATCATACACATTATTCAAAAATGATTTATATCTATTATTGGTCGATCACCATTATGATAGCATAACTTTTGAAATAAATTTCTAATTCAACTCAACTTTACAGCAAAAAAAAAGAAAGAGAATAATGTCACTTTGATCATTGATTAAGATTTGTCAGTGTCGAAAATTGCAAATATTTAGGTGACTAGTTCGGAAAGACAAATATTCTATTTATAGGTGCTGGGTTGAAGGATGCTGGGAGTTATCTCGCAGCTTCGGTTCTCTCCGGTTTATTGACTGATGAAGGGGGAGCCGGGGACGCAGCATTAAATCTAGTCAGTGCCCCGGCCGTAGCCAAACAACGGGGTATACAGGTGTGTTTATTTTACTTCAACCTCTAAAAACTGTATTGCATGGCTGTACATATATTTTAACGTGACGTCCTTTGCACTATGAAAACATAGTATAAAAGGGCCATAAATGTTAGCGTTACACTATAGGCACTTCAAAGAAAAATGACTCTTTATAAACAGTAAACCATTCTTATTTTGAAATATGTGAAAAATAGTTTATTATATTTATGTAGATACAATAGTAAATTTATTGAACTCATTGAATAAAACAATATTATGCTCACCAGAGGCTCACATTATATTTTTATTAGACTCCATCAATAAATTAAGTTCAATATCCTCGTATTAATAGACAAATCTTTAATTGAAAAATATTACAGTTCAGTACATAATGCTTTGCATTAATATATACCACTTGAAAATCTTCTCACTGTTTGTTAGATTCAAGTCAAACTTGGTTTATACCAGTCTCTGTTTGAACTCTTAACCGTCCTGATCCAGAAGCGATTAGCATTTGCCACCAGTACAGAGGCATGCCAGCCTGCTTATTTGTACAACCTGACCTGACTCTATACTGTCAGTGTTGGTTTATTCAATTTCTATGCTACCCGTAAAAATTTGGGAACATAAACATGTATTTGTCCTTTTGTAATTTCTTCCCGCAACTTTATTTTTTGACCAATATCTTCTGTAAATGGTAGGTAGATAAGAAATAGTGCTTTACCATTGAAGACGGAATATCATTCACAATTTTAGTTAATTTATACTTGATTATTTTCGTTTGTCTTATAGTTTATCAGGTCTAAAATACCAAGAAATTATTTTATATGTTGTTATTTCTAGGTTGAAAGTAAGTATGAAGTGAACAAGGAAGCTCAGTACAGTCAGATGGTCAGTGTTTGTGCTGACGGACGGACGTTGATAGGGACCACATCCGGGGGCCAGGCACTTCTCATCAGTATCAATGGGGCCCAATTCTCTACCCCAGCTGTACTCAGTGGATCAGCTATACTGTTTCAAGCAAAGAGTGATCCGAAATTGCTAGCTACTGTTGCAGGTATGTCACAGTTTAGCTAATGTACATTATAAATATAACGTATTTTAAATAATGCACAAAGTGATAGCTAAGGTCCACCAGTAAAGCTGGAAAGTGGTCATATTACGTTTACATTGTTGAGGAAAGTACTTGTAAAACTGAACCAAAAAAGTAACAATTATGTTTTTTCATGATTTTAACTTAAAATTTAAGTTAGATATGTGCTACATATATATAATATACATTTTTGTGTATAATGTTTATTTCAGTCTCATCCATACAAAACAACATAAAAACTATTCAATGACATAATTTTACAAATGAAGAGTTGTTTGTGTACGGCTATTCTATTCAGAATTATGAGAGACGGTAAAAGTAACATAATGGAAGGGAGGCAACTCTGCAAGGATTTCCAACATTAAATAACAAAGTTACCTCTCTTCTCATTCCACATTCATATGCATACATTCATATGCATATATTACAACTAAAATGTTAATCTTGTTCTAAAAGAATTTCTGGTACATCATGATAAGACTAGGCTTGAGTGTTTCAAATTGCAAGTACTCATTTTATATATAATATATATGAGCTGCATCACGACAAAACCAACATACTAGCTTTGCGACCAGCATGGATCCAGACCAGCCTGCGCATCCACACAGTCTGATCAGGATCCATGCTGTTCGCTATCAGTTTCTCTACTAGTAATAGGATTTGTAAGGGAACAGCATGGATCCTGATCAGACTGCGCGGATACCCAGGCTGGTCTGGATCCATGCTGGTTGCAAACGCATTACGTTGATTTTGTCGTGACGCTGCTCATATGTAATTTTATATATAATACATATGTAATTAAGTTCTTGTTTTATTTACAGGTAGCCTGTCAAGCAATGGTGCAGTAGTTACAGGTGTTTCTGTTACGGTTGATTCCAGTGGTTCACAATGGGGTCTTGTATACCTGCCTTCCCCTCCACCAAATGGACTTTTCAACATTTCTAAAACCGTCCAATCAGCTTTTGAGTTAGAATTTTAACCAATCAGAGGGCCAGAATTTTAACCAATCAGAGACTTGTGTCTAGGTTTAAAAATGAGATAAATGATGCATATTGCATTTTTCTTAAACAGTAGCTTAAAACCACAACTTGTGTTTTTTGTTCTAAAAAAAGCAAGCATGTATTTAGCATTTGTTCACCTTAATTTTGTTTTTTAAGGACAGTAGAATATTGAAATTAAAGCAAGACAATAGTAATTAGCTATAAAATGTTAAGAAAGTTATTGTTTTCTTCCAGTATTAAGAGTGTTAGATAAATTGTCTTTTTTCTTAACAAAAAATATAGTAATTAGCTGTAAAATGTTAAGAATGGATTTTTTCAGTAATGAAAGTGTTAATTAAATATGACTATTTTTCTAAAGAAATATGCTGTAAAAATTTCAAGAAAGGAGCTCTGGACTGAATAAGTGATAACTATTAGATTAAAGTCAAGAAATTTTAGAAATCATCACATATTTCTATTCACCAATTTTACAAATAATTTCTCAAGAAAGAAAGGCAGGGTAGAAATGTACAAATAGAATAGTAGTTTTGTTTTGTGCAGAAAATATGGGCATTTTATTATGTGTTGTGAAATATTAATCTATATTTTCAGGGAAAAGTAACATGTTAGATAAGCCAGTTTTGAAGCATTTACATTTTATGTTTGTTTGACACTTGACTCTGTGTATTACATTTTATTTTGAAAACCCAATACTTTAGCTTTTAAAATTTTGTCTTGGTCACTGTGCAAAAACGTGTTCAGAACTTTCTACGCAGTTTTTGATTTGTGTACTTTTGTTATCCTATTCCAGGGTAATGAATACAGAGAAAATAAAACCAGTCTTGAACGACACTGTCATTGGTCAATTTCAAATATACGCAACTCTATCAACCAATCATATTTGTTTTCAACTCAATAAGCAAGTAATTAACCAATCAAATTTCTGGTTTATTTCATGTCTATGCAAGTAATTAACCAATCATATTTCTGGTTTATATCAACTCTATTCAAATAATTGATGGCAAATTTCATCTTTATGCGCTTAATTTACCAATCATATTTCTGATTTATTTAATCTCTATGCAAATTACTGACCATTCATATTTCTGGTTTATTTAAATTCTATGCAATTAATCGACCAATTATTCTTCAACTTTATGCAATTCATTACCCAATCATATTGTTTTGTTCTTGACTGGTTTTCCGTCTCGAGATTTTTTTTTTTTATTTCAAAGGTAAATGTTAAAGATGTTATGTCTTCCTATTTCACAGTTTAATATACAATGTTTAAGAATAGCTTGCAAGTGATGAAATAAAGGAATAAAGAAAACAAATTCATTTTATGTTGTTATTCTTTTTTTATTTACAATTTACCATTATGCATGTGTTTCTTTTGTCACAAAAAGTGGTGGAAAGGGGGAAATTCAATAGTAACTGTACATAAAGGTTTAAGCTTTAAAAACGTTGATGAAATTATCATTTGATTATTATTGTTTTGTAGAAGGTATAACATGTTAGGTAGAACATACAAAGTACACACCCATCAAAGAAAATAAAAAGTGTTTTTTAAGCAGTGTTGTCATGAATATCTCGATAAATTGGTGTTTTATCATGCCCAGACTGAACCACAATTGATATAGAAGTTTGCATAAGAAATTAATACAATAGCTTCTGTTGTTTAAAATTTGCTATCCGCTGCTTTTATATCACACGGTTTTGTGTTGTTGTTTTTTTTGCAACACTTGTCTTATGTAGCTTGGAAATTTGCACTGGCTGCTGTTTTTATTTTTATATGGTATAGGGCTCTTCTATATGTTAGTTGTCTGTGCTCCGCCTTCTGTCTTTTACAGATTGTTCATTGAAGAAAATATTGTAATGTTACCTGAAATAAATGAGGAGAAAAAATTTAGTATAATGTAATGTTCTCTTGTTATTTCAAGAAAAGTTTAGTAAAAACAATAAACTGGGACTTAAATAGGTATAAAGTCCTGTTTAGTTTAGGAAGTGTGTCAATTTGAAATATAAAGGCCACAATAAACTTGTATGAACATTTCCGAAGAGCTAATCCTAATTGCTTTTAGATGGTTTTGCAAGATAAAATTATTTTTACATGCCATGTCACTAAAATAAAACTTGGTTTGGAGATTGGATGCCACCTAAGCCGAGGCTAGAGGGCGTGAGGGATGTAGGGCGTGAGGGATGTTGCACTTTTCCATTATACCTCATGAACAGACGCGATCTTACCGAATCTCAGATTTTCGCGTATTTTTTTTGTTTTCAGTGCTTCCGATGGATTGACCCTTTTCCAGGTCAGATAGGCTTTCACTTTAATTATTCCATGATTGGTTGCAGTCCGATGAAATTCAAAATCCTGATCATTGAGTTAAAGTGAACAAAGTAATAATCCTATAACCATTATAAATTTGTCTGTTTTCTTTTAACAGGCATTATTTTGATTATGGCAGTAAGGGACCTACTTTATTTTTGTGTTTTGTATGGTATAGGTTAATAAATGTATGGGGGAAACTTACCTCGACCATACATTTTCAGTTTCTCTGTCATCAAGATGGTACCAGAATAGTTGTTTGTTAATTGACAATTATAATCCCCGTAATCTTTCTTCTCCACGGCTGAAAAAAATGTGAAAAAGGTTTATGTCTATATTGATAAAGCCCTTGCAATTGTCTGTGTTCATTTTTGTGTTAACTGATAAGGAATATCGTATTTTCGTGTTCCCACCTGGTGCCTCGCGGAGCAAAGACAATATACATAAAATGGTTATCACTTTGTTGTATTAATCATCGTGATTTCGCCTGGCGCCTTGCTCAGCAAAAAAATAACATGGCCACCATAACTTCACAATTATATTTTATTTTTAAATACATTTTAAAAATTAAATTTTCATGAAAATAAGCATAAATCTGGAGATATTGCATGTTGCTTTAATATGTTTTAGAAAAAAGTGTAATTTACTTTTAAATACATTTTAAAATTATTCATGAAAATTAGCATGAATCTGGAGACATGGCATGTTGATTGAATAACAGAGCTGACCTTACATTTGATTGTCAATATTGAGTAATATCTTCGGCTGTCGAACATCATTGAAAACTTGTCCACACTATACCCTGTCTCCAGCGCGCCATTTGACGCGACTTTCTGTGACGTACCATCTTTGTCGTATACCCAGGACATTTTATGATCATCAAAATAATGGTTGTCCCACGTAGATCCACTCATGGTACACAGTAATCTTATACTAGCTGGGTAGTCGTCTAATAACGCCAGCGCGCCCATATTAATAGCTAAATAAAGAGAAAGAAACGTGTTTGAAAACATTACAATTTCATTACAAACATGACCATTTTCTGGGTAGTAAAAACATTTATTTGAGCCTTTTTATAATGAAGCTTGTGTGCATGTTTGGACTACTCTTGGCGCTTTCATTGATAACAATGTGTGGGAGGAGACGGCTTGAACTTTACGATCCCTGGGGGTAGCAGCGGTCGCTTTGACCACTAACTTACCGGGCCCCTTTTCTGGGCGTCATTTTATATCATGATTTTTAAAAAGAAAAAGTTATATTACCTTATTTATTAATTTAATTTTCTTGCTTTTACAGTGCCACGGCAACTTGGTACGATTAAATTATTCAAAGACATGAATTAAACATGGGTTTCCTATCCTAAGCCTTAAGGAGGTAAATAAAAAATCACAAAAAATTAAGGAAATAAACATAATTATCCTATTCACTTTTTCCATACAGTAAGCTAAAATCTCTAAATCCAGATAAAGAAAAAACTAGGAATGAATAAAATTCAATATTGTTTTGGTTTTCTTATTTGTGGTTGCCTTTTCACCAGTAAAATGTTTTGTGTATAGCCTTTGATTTAAAAACAGTCCATTCAATGCGTAAGTGATTTCAATATCAAAGTACTGAAAAAAACTGTATATACATGTACATACGTGTTATACTGACGGGTATAGTGGCTTGTGTAATCTCATTTCCTGTTGATTTTTCTTCCAGACTACAAACATATTCCCCTACTTCGTAAAACGGCATCTTAAGTCCTGAAATATATTACGGTCTACATATTTTACTTTTCTAACGTCACACGGATTACCAAATCGGCTGAAGAAAAACAAATTATAACGTAATGCGTTTTTCATCTTGATTTCAACAAGGGAATTGTTTGCTTACGTCGAACGGATTGCCAAGTTGACGGATAAAATTCAAATAGTAATGTAATGCTTTTTTCGTCTTGATTTCAACCAAAGTCTTTCAAAAAGAAGATTTCAACTTGGCCCCGGGTCTTTCAACTAGAAAGAACCCGTTTCAACATATAAAGTACATGTTACTTTCTGACTGTAAATATGACAGAATATGAAGAATGACAATCCTGGAATATGTTTACATACAAAATACCTGTTCAAAAAAAGAAGAAACAATAAGTTTTTACTCACCCTGAACAGTCAAATTTATCGCTGAACCATTTTGGCTGATATGTATTTCGTAAACGCTTGAATTGTCCAACAATTTCCCTCTTTTATAAATCGGAGTCTTTACCCCAGTGGTTGTGTTTACAAACGACCATACCATATCATTGTCTATACATGCCGCCGTATCTTGTATAGAACATTCACATTTGAAATGTGCCACGGCATCTTCTGGCACTTTCAGAAAGTAAAGCGGCGACACCGTTAACTTTGGAACTGTAATACAATGTATATAGATTTGTTGGTGATGACATTTTTTTTTCAGAATGATTATATAAGGTCGGCGAATCGATAAAAGAAATTAAGGAAATGGTTTATTGGTAGGAAACCTTTGTTCAGTTTGCGATATGTCAAATCTTTATCAAAAAATGTTTCTAAAATCAGTATGACTTCTAAATAAACCCTTCGAGTCTAGTGGCGATCCAATAAGTTCATAGCATATCCTTGTATAGCCAAACAAGCCTGCACATCGGCACGTGCCATTGAACCGGAAGACATGTATTCTTTTTGCTGCATATTGTTTGTATTAAAATTCCCATTAAACACAATAGGAAACTGTTTCAGATTAAGGGCGGATATTGTCCATTACATAATTTCAGAAATTTTACCAGACATACATTATCTGTTACAGGCCATTTTCTTATTACATTTTACCTTATTTTACAAAGTTCCCTATTTGTAACTTTTGTCTGTTAATTAAATTTGAACTGTGTAAAAAACATGCAATCAACGATAACATAATTATGTTTTACAGCACTGATGTTTTTAAGGTTATATGTTAAGATTAAGGACATATATTATCCCATCCACACCTACCTGCAATACTGAGAGTGGCGTTTGTTTCTGTAACAATCTGACTGCCATTTCTCATTTCACAAACAATATGGCCGTCGTCTGTTGTTGAAGTTGCTAAAATTATATATTATATAAATATGTTATACATATGTATGTTACATGCAAATGATACATTTTACACAGAAAAGAACAGTTGATATTGACAGTGCGTTTACTTATGTAAAAAAAGAATATGAAAAAGTCCCGTCTAATTATTGTACAATGCAATACCTCCAGATAACTTTTACTATTTATAAGCTCATTCGTTTTTTTTCTGTTTTTTTTTTCTTTGTTGGGTGGGTGGCTGTTGCAAATAAAAATTAACGTAAGATTTGTTGTAAATGGAAACTGTTCTGTCATTTAAAGTTTGAATACCATTAAGATTAGCTTAGTGTTTATTTGTAAGAATTTATAACATTAAAATAGCCAAGAACGTCGCAGTGTTAGAAATCTTTCTATAAACAGCCAATTTACTAGACTGATACTGCAATGCTATTGGACAAAAAATGATTTCAAACACTAAAGTATATTAATTAGTGATAAGATAACTCGCTACTACAAGTATTCTTCTCAGAGTAAATAAAAATAAAAGTATATAGTTACATTTAAGCGTAACGATATTGTGCAATATTCCATTGCCATTATTTCTAGAGACAAAATCATATCTCTTAGTTAAATTTCCTGTCACAATTTTCCCGCCATCAACAATTGTGTTGGATACGCCATCTTTTGTCACGTGATGTAAAGCAATATGGCTGCCATTTGAAGCGGAAGTGTTCTGCATACAGTTTATAGCAATGTCAGATCCAGCGTCAGCTGCAATCTTGTACGGAGATAATGTTATTCCTTTATCTGAAATAACGAAACATAATTCAATGTAATCATTCATTGCAAAATTAAATCTTGACGTGGTATCACATAATTAATTCGCGCCAATTTACACCAGTGTCTTTCAAATAGAAGCCTGTTTACATCAATAAAGTATAAAACATGCAAGTCAACTAACAATAATTGTCCATTTCCGGTTTCTCTAATCTTATAGATATTAAAGCATATTGTTTTATTGCTTGTTATTATATCTAAATATGAAATAATTTTCAAACCTAATTGTAGAATAAAAAAGGTGACCTACTTAAATTGTTACTTATGGCTGGGAATCCATGAAATTCAAGGAGAAATTCATATTTCATATACGCAGGAAATGGCAAGTCACACGGCACTTCGATAAACGAGTAAAGGAAGGGGTAAGAAAATAAACGAATAATATTCCAATTGACATAGCAGAATGTTTTGTATACTCTTACCAAATACAAGTATTGGAATTCTGTATTCATCTATCACATTTCTGTCATAATCGTGCAGACGACAAATATATTCTCCGTGGTCGTCTGATGTAATTTCTGCATGAAAAACAATATTTATAAATACGTATTTATCTTAAGTAAATGTAAAATAATTCGTGAAAAACGTGCTAGTCTGTGAATGTAGCTATTTATTTTACTACAAATGAATAGTTTTTCATATAGGTACAGCTATCACACTTTTTTGTGTGGCGCCGTTATATGTCGCAACCCCGCTTAATGTCGCATGTCGCACAATTGCCGCTCAATGTCGCATCAATTCCGCTAAATGTCGCAACCGCCGCTAAATGTCACAATCATGGTATTTTTCCTTGTTGTCGCAACATTACCGCTTAATGTCGCAAGATGTATATTCATATACATTGGCTATTTAAAGTGGATTGGTCTACGATGGGCACTTTCTTAAGAAACATCTATAACATTGATAAAACAACAGAAACGTATCGTTTGGATATACTTATAAAATATTTCTTAAACAAAAATGTTTATCTAGTTTTACATTATTTAAAATGGCATTTATATGATGAATAACTAATATTTTGTTCAAGAGCATTTTATAATCAACATCCATATATAACCCTATCACACATGATACTTATAACTACATAAATATTTATGGTTTTGCATATTTTCCATCATAGACCTAATCAGTTTAAATGACCATGTTTGTGTGCAAATGAAATGTAAAAAACATTATGTATAGTATGCAACAACGCTACATGTCAGGTGCATATAATACTTTTTTTAAAATATTGCTTTCCGTACTTTTGCAAATTTATAACCAGACATAGGTCCATCTATTTGCCCCTCACCGCTGTTGTTTAGAATCCCGCAAGGGACTTCGGTTTTTTCATGTGAGGAAGCTATCCAGCTAACGTACGAAATGTTGGTGGTTCTACTCAGGTTCCCTCGTGCACGGAGGTGCACCAGAGATCTAGCTCTACCCACCAATCAAGCTGGAAAATCACTATGTATATGTTAGTGTCAAGCTTTATTTGGCCCTTGATTACGTCACTACGCGGTACTATGAAGCACTATGAAAAATAGAAGGCGACTATGAACGGATTTCAATATAGTATCGACTTTTTTTCTTCTATGAAAATTAACACACATAATTTTTAAGAAATACAGCGTTTTCATTGGATGACAAATAAAGCTGGACACTAACATATACTTAGTGTTCATCCATGCTGTTCTACAGAAATTAGAAACTTCGACGGGAGCGATAGCGACATGTTTAGTGTCAAGCTTTATTTGGCCCTTGGTTACGTCACTACGCGGTACTATGAAGCACTATGAAAAATAGAAGGCGACTATGAACGGATTTCAATATAGTATCGACTTTTTTCCTTCTATGAAAATTACGAACATAATTTTTAAGAAATACAGCGTTTTCATTGGATGACAAATAAAGCTGGACACTAAATGACTTTACTGTATTTTAGACCGGTGGGGACGTTTCAACTTAATAAAGATCTGATTACATCTTCGTAAATTCACGTTTTCAACATACGGAATTCATGAATTCACGATTTCTAATTCAGGAATTCACGATTTCAACTTCATGATTTCACCTCGTGAATTTACGATTTCAGCTTATCTACGTGAATTCACGTTTTAAACATACGGAATTCATGAATTCACAAGCTTAACTTCATGAATAAACGATTACTACTTTATGAATTCACGTTTTTAACTTCACGATTTCAGTTCCGTGAATTCACGATTTCAACTTCATGAATGCAGGATTTCAACTACACGAATTCAACTTTATGAATTCACTAATTCAATTTCACGTATTTACATTTTCTGCTTCGTGAATTCACGATTTCACTTTTAAATCATGAATTTGTTAAGTTGAAATCGTGAAGTAGTACCCGTGAATTCTTGAAGTTGAAATCGTGAAGTTTAAATCGCGAATTCATGTCCCCCACTGGTCTTTCGTATTACTGTCACAGAATGCTGCTTTTAAATGTTGCTTTAAGAAATAATTAGGAAATTATAGGTCCTGATTAGAAGCTTTATTAACTTTATTAGGATAAGCAGAAATAAAATTTTTATTAGTTCTTTGTAAAATAAATCTAACACAGTTCAAATAAGGTATTTATTTTATATTTAGGCCTTTAAGCTCAAGGTTGGTACTTACAATTTAAAGTCTTAATTAGGATTTTATTTATTTTAACTAGGCTTTTAGAAATAATTTGGTTTTTATAAGTAAAAATTTTCATCTCTCTTTTTAGGAAAATCAAGGTCCTAATAAAGCTTTTAAAACTTCTAATTTAGTACCAAAACATTTTTGACCATGCGACCACATACATGCATCGAGGACAAGTTGTAAGGAAAGTGACCGTGCGACCACATACACGCATCACTGAATTCCTCTTCTCATACGAGAAAAGGACAAAGAGTTGTCCGCCCTTAATTTAAGGGCAGACTTTAAAAATATGCCATTCCCTTATTGTTGTTATTAGACCTTTCTATCTTAAACGGATTTCGTAAATGGACTTCGTAATACGGAATGAATTTGGGGATTTTCTCAAAACGTAAATAATAAAAATACCAATATGCTAAAACTGTAATGCAGCGGGTTTTCTTACATACATATGCTAGTTATAGTATTTCTATAAACCATCAACACATTAAAGATGGAGACAATAATTGTATAAACATAATATATATAAAGACCAAATAAAAACAAACCAACAACAAACGAACAAAAAAAAAAAAAAAAACACAATACAAGTCAATGTAAATCGACCGGCTCATCGCAGGAGTTGTGAATCAAATAAGAAAATATCACGCTCTCTACAGGAGATCCACCCCCACTTTGGCGTCAGCAGGGACAGCAGTAATGACATTTACCTTTAGTCTTGCTTTCACAACACTCAAAACTTAATGGCATGTTGGTATTAGCACTACAACAAAGAATACATGAATTAGGAAACTTGTATTCTTTTTATTTTATTATTCCGTATTACGAAGTCCGTTTACGAAGTCCGTTTCAGATAGAAAGGTCTAATAAGGAGGCTAATTTTCGCTCACGTTTCTTGAAGTGGTTTATATACAAAAATAGTTATGCAAACCAGCGGAGTATCCGTTTTCGTTCTTTTAAGTTCGCTATGACATTTTTAAAATAATCATATTTAATTTTCTGGAAAATTTTAAGTTTACAACTGTTTCTACTTTTTATTCAATGTATATAATAGAATTATTATATTTTTGTAAAACATGAACGTTTCAAAAACGTTTTATATGCATTAAATATGGGAGATAACTTTCACACACATTGTTTGCAAATATTAACCTTGGGGGCATTTTTGCCAAAGTACGCATTTAAATTCTATAAGCGACTTATCCTACTTCTAACATTAAAGGTAATGAGATGAGCTGCAAGAAAAAAATATGAGCTCCGCCATAGTGCATTTGCGACCAGCATGGATCCAGACCAACCTTCGCATCCGCGCAGTCTGATCAGGATTCATGTTGTTCGCTTACCAACCCTATAACAAGTAGGGAAACTGACAACGAACAGCATGGATCACGATCAGACTTCGTGGATGCGCAGGCAGGTCTGGATCCATGCTGGGCGCAAACGCACTATGTTGGCTTTGTCATGGCGCGGCTCATATAGATTTAACACGAGAAGCACTAGAAGACTGTACTCATTTGCAAACCTTATTTAAACCTGCTGAATTTGTAAATACACTTTTCAAGACTGAATTTTTCAGGACTGTCTATCAATCGGATAATATCAATATAGAAATTTCTAAAGTTAGTCAGTCATAACTGGTTTGGTCTGCATGGATTTTAGGCCTGGCTTACATGTATATCAATGCAAAATTGTGATTTTTTAAAGATCTCCATTAACATTTTCCATAATATTTCCAAATTTAAATCTTTTAAAAACTCTTAATATTTTACCGAAAACTACGAGATTTTTTTTACACAGTTTTGATCAATTTATTTTTAGGCCTGGTCGCGTTCTTTCACTCGTGGTAATTCTGATTGGAAAATGCTCCTCACTTGTGGACCAATTCGTTGTTTATACGGTTACTTAAATTACATTTTTTGAATGAAATTTTAGACTCACCAGTCTTGCCGAGAACGAAGTACATTATGGGACTACTTTTTGTGCCGTTGTTTGGTCCTTCATTGTAAAGTCGTGAAGTGATTATATACTGTGACGTTGAGCCTTCCTGTACGAGATCCCAGTTCAATGATAAATACACCTCGCGCCCGTCGCGACCTATTCTACTCCATGTGATAATATGATTTAAATAGTACATGTGACCTTGACCTGCCGAACACCGGAAGAGGGCGCTTGTTGTGTTTCCGTTCGGGTAATATTCCACGTCTGCTTTCAATCTGACTGTGAGACAAACAATATATGAATACATAATGCCTTATTTTACGTACAAAAAGCATGATAAGAAAAAATAAACCTTTATAATTTGCGACATTTTATTTCCATTTCCGGTTTTAAACACTGCTCTTCTCACCAACCATTTATGGTAAATTTGTGAGAATTGTGGAATTCCCGTACAGTTAACTCAAAGATCATTGGAAAGAATCAATATTTCTCAAAATTTACATACATATTCCAAGGATTTTCATTTCGTTCTTAGCTTTGATTTAGTTAAAGTAAGAGCGCAGTCGGACGTTTGTAACGAATGTTTTTTTTTTGTTCAATTAACTATTGCTGTTGCACATCCTTTTTACCTTGTTTTAACAATTCTTGATAGATTAGTATGAAGATAATAATAATAATAATAATAATAATAATAATAATAATAATAATAATAATAATAATACTTTTATTTTCGAAGGTAACTTACAAAGTTTACACAAAAAGATAATATGTTTATTTATTTTATCGTTTAAGTTTCATAATACCAGTTGACAAAAAGTCTTACCAAGTGAGTGTGCCAGAGCCAAGTAAGCTGATATGACAACCAACGTTCCACATAGACAACTTCTCATCTTTCCGATCTATTTGTTATACAATGAAGTCATATTGTTTTATATAATTAAAGGCCGGAGCAATGTTCAAAACCTTAAGGCAATTCGATTTAATATCTTAAGAGCAAAATTATTTGTAATATGTCACTATCTGAACCGCATATTGCAATAATGCACTCAAAATTTTGAATATTCAGGTTTCCACCCCTTTATGACTGCAATTTTAAACGATCTTGCGAAGTGCAATGCGAGAAAAATAATTCTATAACTTATCTAATATAGTGCCATTAATTTTGTTAGCTGCGTTCAAGTAAATTGAATCATATACGTGTATATTGCGATTCTATTTATAACTGTGTGATTTTTTTACAATTATTTTTTATTTTCTCTTCTTTTTTCAATTCATTTGACAAAAAAAAACAAAAAACAAAAAACACACACACAGAAAATTAATAATACAAATATTTCATTACAATATATCTGTTCTATGAAATGACCATCAAAAAATTAAAATATGAACTCTACAAACAAAAATCTCACCTTATTGTTATTCCAATGTTACTCAATTCTCATATAATTATTATTGTTACAAAACTCTAACGTGTTCATATATTGACGGCTGTAACATGTACACCGGATGCGAAACTTGCTGAGTCACGTGACAATGTACCCACCAGACTTCCTGTCGCGACATGGTCAGTGTTGCTATTTGTCAAACTGACCAGTCGGTTGTCAAAATACATGTTTTGTATTGATAGTTTTAATGACTGTCCATTGTGATAATTTGTATCGCAATTATTTATGTCAATTTCCATGTTGTATTTTGCATTATCATTCATTTATAACATCTAACATTGGCAATGAGATGAGTTTTTTTTAGAATGGACCACACTTGAATATTTGACGTCTCGGTAAAGGTAAACGCTTTTTTCCCCGCGTGTGATTATGTTATTTCAAGCGTTTGGTACGTCACGATTTGCTCCCACCTTCATTTTTTATCCTTGATGTACCGTACGTCTAAATTGCTGATTAAGCAAATTAACGGCAAAAAATCACCTGAAAGTAATATGAGGAAAACAAACAAATCTAAAACTTGGATGAATTTTTTTAAAGGTGGGAGGGCAGATATCCCCCTTGGAGTTTAAAATTAAAACCTAGAGTGTTTTTATTTTTTTTCTAAAGTTTGGCGGCCTTTTTATGGTCTCAAACCCCGGCATATTTCGTATTTCTTTCAGGAAAAATCAGCCCACTTTTTGGGATTTTAAATCGGGGTTTCCACTTTTCCCTTGATAAAATTATTTACTGTCTTCAATTTCAAAATCAAAAAAACTATCAAGTTCCAAAAAAGGGCCCCGAAAATTTTTAAATCTACCTTTTTCAGAATTTTTCATTCTGTTTTAACCTTTTAAAATTTGTCCCGCTGCTGGCGGGTAGTACTTTTTTAAAACCCTTTTCCCCAGAAATGAGGTCCTGAAAGTACACAAAAAAACTTTTAAAGTAAATTCAAAAAAACACAAAAAAACAAAACACAATGCAATAAAAAACCCCTTTAAAAATAAACCAAACCCAAACTTGAGATGCCCTTAAAATTTGGGGGCCCAGTCGGGGGGAGGGGCCCCGAGTGCTTTTGCGGGGGGAGGGGAGGGGGGTTTTATTTTCCCGGAAAAAAATTTTTTCTAGCTCTTTTTTAACGTATTACCCCAAACCGATTAAATAAGAATTTATGAAACTAAACAAACAGTAATACTGTATGTTAAAAATTTAAATAGCTATACAAAAATGCCCTTTGTTGAAAAGGACCCAAAGTTTTTAAGAAAATTTTGGTGCCAATATAATCTATTTTTTACTTTTGCAAGTTGCGGGTTTCTTTAAATATAGTTTTGGGGTTGTTGTAAATTGTAGAAATGGTTAAATTTTTAGGGTTTTTGGATAGGAAATTTTAACCCAAACTTTTTAGATACTTTAGAAGATCAAATTTTTATGCCCCTCCCGAAAAAAAAATTGTCCCCATTGAAAAAATCATATCCCCATGCAATTTTTAAATGATGATTTTATATAACCAAAATATTTGAGTTATATATAGATGTGAACATACACCTTAATGATAACTAAGTTCACAAAATGTAGGGTACGAAACTAGATAAATTTATGAATTTAATTATCACTTTAAAGTAGCATTATAATATAAGCATATAATTTTGATGAATTTGTTTTTTAACGAGGATAAAACAATGGCAGATAAAATCTCACCTGAAGGAAATAAAAAGCCGAAATTACCCCTGATCCGAAAGATTTATAAAGGGATTTTAATGTTTGAAAATGAAATTGAAGAGATAGAGCATATGGATACGAGAGAGGATGATATCTGGGTCATAACTTACCCACGATCTGGTAAGTTAGTTCTTCTGATATCTGGATTATAATTTATCCACGATCTGGTAAAATAGTTCGTGTAATATCTAGGTGATAACTTACCCACGATCTGGTAAGTTAGAACATGTGCTAACTCTTACATTAATTTCTGAAAAATGCTGTTTTCTAAAATGTTTTCATTAAGAAAAAGGGTATCGCTTTTAATACCATTTTATAATGAAATCATGCCGAAAAAAAAGCATCTTGAATTCCCTTGAGACCGTTTTTAGAATAAAGTACAAACCCTTAAACTAATTTTTTGGAAGCGCCTTGTATGGACAAATATTCGCTTAAATTTCTATTCCAGTACATATTGTACAATAAAACAAGCATTTGAAAGAAAAAATGTGGGAAAAGAAAATATCAACTTCTCTAAATTTTTGTTTGATGTTTTACAGGTACTACTATGACACAGGAAATGGTTTATCTAATACAGACGCTTGATTTTGACACTGCTTCTAAAGTTCAGCTAGATGAAAGGTTTCCAATGATTGAAGTTAAAGACGACAGGTACCCTTACTATAAAGGTACTTCTCATTCGGAACTGCCTCGGCTATTATCTATAATAATTTATCCGAAGACTGACGGAATGGGCCGAGTAGTTGCGATAGGGTATTTCTTTATCAAGCTCCCACGCAGTGATCTCCCCTTATAGGATAACCGTTGCTTCTTTATTCTCAAGTAAATGCATGTAGTATGACATAATATGAAATAAGAAGACAAATGTACAATTAACTGACTCGTGGACGCGACATATTAAAGTAACCGCATGCCGCTCTTTGATTCCGGAATTAATATTCATGAGCAATAAATCAAAGGTTAATACAATGTACATGAATAAAAAATTGAATTTGTATTATTAGAAAGCGCACCAGTAAGTGTACATTTGTGTAGGTTGGTGTAGGGGATGTTTATTTCTGTTGCTGTTGTTGTTGTTGTTACTAATGTTGTTGTTATTTGAAGGCATCATCGCATAAAGTAAAATAAGCGTTAAAATTTGTGAGGAAATCGGTTTAAATTGCATACATTGTAATTGGTTTGTTAGGACTGAAGTTCATTGTGGAGATGAAGTCACCGCGCATGATCAAGTCTCATTTACATCACTTCCTGTTGCCAACGCAACTACAAAATGGAAAAGGAAGGGTAACTGTTGCCTTCATTTCATGATCTATCAGATAGTGATAATAATTACAAATATATGTCGTATGTAAAAAAAAAGTCAGTAAAATGGATAAAAGGCTGTTTCTTGAAATTTAGTAATTTTAATGATGTTACCTTTTGGATACCATTTTCTTGTACATTTAATAGAGGATATTTGTTTGTTTGTGTGCAAGATGGAATTTTATTTCATCGAGTGGGCTTTAAAAACAGTAAAAATACTATTTTAAAGTTCACGAGATGAAATAAAATTACATCTTACACACCAAAGAAACAAATTTTCTTTTTATTTTATGCTTAAAAACAAGTTAAAACGAAATTTCCATAAAGTTAATGTTAATATTAAAATCTGTTTTCCCCATTGAGAGCCCCATTTAGTCAGAATTTCTCATTAAATACGAGAAGTCTTGAGCTGCAAAATAAATTCGGCAATCAACGTTAAATGACGGTGATATTATCCATTTTATTATAAAATATGAATGTTCGCTTGTTTTGATAATAAAAACAAACAATTCTTGTTGGAGAAAAAGTCCAACCATCCATCCAAATTTCTGTTAATTACTGCGAATTTATATTAGACCTGGCTTTGTTAAATGTATGCGGTCATTTTTTAAAGTTGTGTATTTCATGGGAGGAAAATAATTGTGTTTGATTCAGAGGAATATCATTTGGATTTGTTAGTCATACACCTTTTTAAAAGAAAGAAAACTTATTTGAGGATTGTAACAGACAAAAATGAGTGTTGACAGATGTGAAAACATTCAGAAACGCAGATAGGAAAATGGAAAACTTGGAAGCTGGCTCAGGAACGCTGGGTAGTTTACGTATTCTACGAGCAGATGGCTGCCATTGCTTTCCAATATTTCATAAAGCATACGACAGTTATTGCTCGTAGGATACTTTAATATGCCCAAATGTCATCAAGAGTTGTTTTACATGTGGAAAGAATGTATTTTTCAGACTGTAAAAAATGAAACAAAAAAAATTTAGAGATGAAATTTGGTGATAATAGAAGTAAGTTTTCTTCTTTTTATTACTTTTGACATTTAAGTTATTTATCAATTTCAGCTTTGCTTTTTCTTTAAACACTCATTGTCATTGTAAACATTGTCAGAATCGTCAGCAAAAATAAAATTGAGGTACCACATGGGGAAACCCTTAAAAAAGTAGTTTCGTCATTGAAAAGTGTGAAATTATATTTTGATAATTTTTACTGCGAAATTATCAAATGTAATTTCCACGGATAAATCAGTAATCCACTGAAAAGCATAAAATAAAAGGTTCGACTTACATACTGCATGGTCAAAACGATAAATTTACATTATTTCAGATTATATATTTGGTACGAAATCCAAAAGATGTCGTCACATCGTTTTACCGTTTGATGCAATGGGGAGATCAACTTGTGGACGGTGACAAATCTTTCGATCAGTTTATTGACGCATTTGTGGAAGGAAAAGGTATTTCTGCATATACCAAGCTTTATATTATGTAACATAAGACGTAAAAAGTAGTCTGCATACTGTATACTGACTCATATGTAGAACTATCTTTATGTAATTTCAGTGGCACCAGAATCATAAAGTGAATAAAATGATACTTATTAACACAGGCTGCCCAAAGAATAATCAAGAATTACTTCTCTTGCACCAAATTCCCGTTTATACTTTCATATATTTTTCGTGATTTTGGTGCCAGCGTTCTTTTCTTTGTCTGAGATAAAACCTTCGTAAAACAGTTACACATTTATTTTAAAACTTTTCATTTCTATCACAGGATATGCTTGCCCCTGGCCAAGACATGTCTTAGAATACTGGGAAAGAAGAAACAACAAAAATATTTTATTCTTAAAGTATGAAGACGTAATTAAGGTATGTAAACAAATCAAAGTTTATGATGTTACTTAATCATCTATATCAGTTTTAATTGAAATGTTTAGTTTTCTGTTTTGTATTTACTTGTACTCTACTATTGTTGTGAACCGGGACAAAGATTCTTAATTATACAATACATTTGTTATGCTATAATCTAGTTGTAAATGGATTCTAAAAGCAATAATAGACACTTAATGAGGTTTGAATACGGCGATGTTCCCTTCTGTATATTCGGTAATAACTTTATCCATATAAACTGTGGTAGCTTCTGTATACACTGGGATAGCTTCCGTATATACGGTGATGTTATCTTCCGTACATACGGTGATATATTCCGTATATGCTGTGACAGTCTCTTCGTATATTATACAAATATGGACTTTTTAGCTGTTGAATATGATGTGATATGTACTGAAAAAATTAATATTGACCGAGGCGATAGCCGAGGTCAATATTAATTTTTCAGCACATATCACATCATATTCAACAGCTAAAAAGTACATATCTGTTTTATTATATAATCTATAAATAGCTTTTATATGGCTTATCACATCTGCCATTGCATACGACGGAAATCATTATTTTTCAGCTTGTCTACTGTTTCCATAATTTGGCCCTTTCCATTGGCATGCTAATCCCTATTTTTCTTAAATATGAAAAACAGTAACTAAAATAGACTAATTTGACTCTTATGTACACCCAACTCAACGTTTCTTCAGAATAATAACAACAAACTTGGCGTGACGTCGCGCCAAAGTCTCGCGTCTTTTAGGGATTTCCAGAAAGTCTATTTTTAGAAGAAAAACCAGTGAATATACTCTGAAAATCTATTTTTAGGAAAAAAAACAGTGAATATACTCTGATATTGACCTGTTATTTTTTACAAAAAGTTGCTTGTTAGCCAATCAGGGAAAGGCATTTCAAAGCTATTTATAGATTATATAATAAACGAAGATATTATCTTCCGTATATACGGTGATATTCTCTTCCGTATATACGGTGATATTATAATCCGTATGAACCGTGATATATTCCGTTTTTACGGGATGTTATTTTTGACAGTATATTCGGTGTTATTATTTTCCGTGAATACGGCGATATTCTAAACTACAGCTAAATTTGGAGCAACATTTGGCACATGTAAAACTTCAGACTGGTACAATACAATTGCTTCGCCATCACAGGTCACTAACACATATATATTTCATTTATTTTCAGGACAAGACAGCTACGGTCAGGACTATTGCGACCTTTCTAGGACGTACTCTTTCTGAAGATGACGTCACGAGGATTGTGGAACATTGTCACGTGGACAAGATGAGGGACAATGACAAAGTAAACATGTCATACTGGAGAGACATTCGATACGTAAATGACAACTCTGAAGGTGGATTTATAAACAAAGGTACATTTGTATTTACATGTACATGTATATTTTGTTTGTGCATGGATATTTTTTCATTACAAGACAATACTCCTTTAATAATCTTCTGAATTTTTGGATCATTATTTGTAAGTTTATGAAATCATACTTCTTTGCTGATTGAAAACATAAAACTTTCATAATCATATCTCATGAGAAGAAATATAATAATAGCAAAACAAATGAAGACTTAATACACATTAAAGCGGCCTTCAGCTTTTCTTAAGGTTAAATGTTATTTTTAGATAAATCGTTTCATAGAATTGTAAAATTAAAAGAATTAAAGTGGAAAATCAAATTTGCCATCCTTAAAATACATAAACAATAAGGAAACCCCTCGATACCCTTAAATGATCTACCTGTCCGCTCTTTATATGTTAAATAGTAAGTGGACGATTCGGCTCCCAATCTTCTATTTTTAGAATCGAACGTCATTATCGCGTTATAAATGGCTCCCCGGACGCTGTGTTGAAGAAGGCTTTCCTAGATATAGTTACTGACATGCTTAGTTTGAAACCAAACAGAACACTGATTTTCCAACAAAAAATTAAAACTGAAGGCCGCTTTAAAATTGATTTATCATTTAAAACCTATTTGTTTTAAGGTAAACCTGGTGTTTGGCGGCAAGTCCTGACGGAGGAGCAAAGTGCGAAAATTGACAAACTACTCAAAGAGCTCGATGGTTCAGGACTCGAACTTGAGCAAACATAAAAATAATGTTTTTTAGACGTTTTTGAATAATGTAACCAAGCGTCGAATTAAACATATTTTAAGATTCATATTTGATGAAAAGGAAACAAATGCACGTATTTCAATCACTATTTGTGTTAAACAATCAGTTGTAATCCTTGGTTATTACATGCATATTATGTATATTATTAAATTGTGATAAAACGCCAGCGATGGCCCATGATTGAAAAAAAAAATATTATATTCTATAATATTTTACAGTATACGTGTGTCAACTGCTTACATGTTCATCTAAACAAAATGTTGTAATTGTTATGGTTTATGTAATGTTTTTATTTCATAGTTATTTAATGCTCGTTAATCTTGATGAATTTGGTGTCATTTCACCTCCACTCTCCTGAAATCCGGACTGCTCATCTTTATTTAAGAAGTTATCTTGGTTACGGTCCTCATTTAGATTTGAACTCGCGACGTCTGAGTTATGAGACAGTCAACTGTATCACTTGACTTATTAAACGAATTTAAGTTTGAGTTTAGCAGAAAATTATAATGTTATTAGAAATCAAGCGTTTATACGAAAAAGACGGGCACTGCATTTGTATGGAAACTACTCGCGTGCCAGTATACTATTCTAGTTGTCTCGAAATATTAAGCCTAGTTATTTTAGAATAATTGCTATTTTATAAAGTCTGCGTCCATAATAGCTGAAATTCAAACTACAGATATGTGTGGAATTGAGTTTAAATAACCAGTGACTGTGTTATACATGTATATTGAAGAACATTCTTTATGTTATTGTCATTTGTCTGTTTTATTCTGATATAGATAATTTCAAATGATAGTATATTATTTACCATGGTATAAAAACCCTAAAAGAGAAAAGTTTAAGTTTCCCAAAGTTTTTACTAAATAGTCGTACATGTTATAAACACCGTGGATTTGGTTTTGGTATTACCGCAACTACGCATTACATGCTACACATGGTGAAAAAGTACAACGCGTGAACCTATGTACTTTTATCGACCCGTTCTGACCTGCAGATTATTGATAGTATTTCAAAATGGACTATACCACTAGCAGAAATTCTTCGTGTAGTATTTCAAAAGAATCGTGATAAAAAAAAGAAGAATAAAAAAGAATTTAAAGGGCGAGTATGTAAGTTATGTTTTGTTTACTTGAATGTTTCTTTTTATGATCTTATTAAATTATTAAAAGTAAGTAAGGGATGTAATACATTTTATTATGTCCCAGGTTAATTTTATCGATTAATTTACGTTAACACTTTATGTTTTAATGAATGTTTTAATTCAGCTTTTTTCTATTGATGACGCGTTTATATATTTATATGTAGATTTATGTTGTAGTAAACAATTTCTACTAAATATGTTCTGAACAACAAGTGGAAATTCAATGAAATATATGCATTAGACTTTTCTATAAATATACTGTACAAATTTTATTAACGATTACAAACTTACTACTGTATAGATATACATTTGTATAATTTGCATTTTCGCATCAAATAAAACAAAATAAAATTCAGTTTTAGCAACATCATTGATTGAACGGGTATGTTTACATAGTATGAATATACATGTACCAGTCACGTGATCTGATTGGTTTACAGCTGTGTAGATGGCTACTACTAAAATTCATCACCGGTCTTAATCAGACTATCGATAAATTTCATTGCTGATAAGCCCATAGGTCAGATGGCTAACATCATGCTAAACTTATCCTGTTATAATAATTCACACTTTTCCGTTAATTTCCGTTAAAGGCACATTGAGGCTCAGAAACATATTTTTTCTGATTAAGAAAGGGTAAAAAAAAGAGTATTATAACGTTTAAAGCATGGATTTAGACTAAAAGCACATTTTAGATGCTTGTTACCTGAGGAAATTTCGTAGCTCTAATTATGAAGACAATTGTAATAAAAGTAACAAACTGTAAACAAAGTAGTATTTTGATTTTTATACAAAATGCAGAATCTCTATAACCGTACTTATTGCCAAAATGCAACAGAAAAAACAAATTATTCGCTTCGCAATTTTTTGAAACTATACAAGTACACTAAAATTGAAAAGCTTTTGATGTATAAAAACATTTCTGACGCATAATGGGCCTTTAATAACGAAGTTAGATTATGTTTACACATATCCAGAGTCCATCATCTTAACATCTTTATGAAATCTCCCCTAACTAGCCACAATCATAGACCACCTACTCGGTAAAAATGAGGTGAAATTTAGGAACATAATTATTTAAACCTTTCCATACATACTTTACCTGTTCACTTTATACATTCTATTTTTGACCTCGAAATATGATATTAAGTAAACGGAAAAAAAGAATATGTTTAATATTTCTAGTTGATAATTTGGATATGTTTTATTTTGAAATACTACGCGTTGTCACGGGAACTTACTTGTTATAAAATGCAAGTTAATTTAACACTTGATCTGACTCCGTATACAATTTATATCTTAGAGATTTTAATTCAGTTCAATGAGAATCATAAAGCGCTCAATAATAGCTCGTTAAATATTAAACGAAAATATTGACATTCCATCACAAAAGGATATATAATAACATGGAATGGAAAATGTTGAAAATGGTGTATTATATCTAGTTAAAGTGATTGGTTAATATTAAAGAGGATTTTTATTAATAAAAGCGTGAGTTTACTTTCACTCGTCGTTTTCGTAGATTTTTTACATTGTAACGAGGACCGACACCCCCACTTTCGAAAACCCTAAATTACCCGCATTATTAATAAACATTATTTTACCGGTTTCTTTTAAACCCCGCCGCCCCACGTTCACATACCCCAGTCCTTTTGGCCTAGACAAAGGCAATTTCGCAGCAGGCCCAGTTATATTACGATAACCTAAATAAACCATCTCTTTCCTAATATCTTTCTACCGTTAATTAAGTGCCTAATTTGTTTTGTTTACGAATTACGCAACGTCATACCAACATTGATTGTCGTAAACAATGAAATTGTCGTAAAAAAATTGATATGATTTGAATTTTATTCATCGTTTTGTTTCATACAGATACACATTTTAAACCATGGGGATGGGATTGAGACGGGGAGGGCGCGGAAGGCGCGCTGGTCGTCGACACCGACGAGTTGGCTTTGGTAGAAGGCGAAATAGGTTTGGCCGTCGGCGTCGGGGTAGAGGTGGAGGCCTTGGTTTACTATTTCTCTGTTGCATGGGTAAGATTTATGTTAAACTGTTAGATAAAGCCGAAACATGATCATTTAAACGTCGAAATAATTAAAATTACAAGTACAAATGTTGCTGCAGTGCAGCAATTGAGAAGCTCCGCGCAAAAAAATGCGCTCTTTACAGATACCTTACCAAATTATTCCTACGCACAGGTCATGTTATATTCAGATCAAGTACTATTGTTGATTTTTTTCCGAATGTTTTGTAAACCATTTTTTGCATAATTATACTTATCTTATGCACTGTCCATAATTAAAAAGAGGGGAAAGATATTTAATATAAAAAATGCTTTCACTGATGCCTACCTGGTAAGGAAAGTAATTCCATTGAATACAAACAAGACTTACAAGACTTGTAAATGTTATGTTTTTGATTTGATTTTTTTTTTTTTTTTTTGATTTTTTTTTTCATGACTGTACTGTGTTCTGTTTGTGTCACTACTGTAGTCAGTAACATAAGATGATAAAAATATCAAAGGCTGTTATTTTATTATTATTATAATTGTAACAAATATACAAAAGGGACTAATAAAAAGTAACAAAAGGGACTAATATTTTAATATAGTAATATAACATGCATTTTTTCATGTCAAATTAAAAAAAAATGGTTTCGTTCAATACTGAAAGTAGAACACACTCTGGAATGAAAAAATGGGATGAATTTCAAAAAAAACAAATCCAGGAATTTGTTTGTTTGTTATACACGCGTTACATGGTGATACAGTATTTATCAATATAATAGAAGACAGTTACCTGGATTTTAGGCAGGTATGAGGAAATTCACTAACATCATGTTCGTGCGAGTCAAAGATAAAAAAGCTGTTTGACATTTGTGAAACATATATAAATAAAAACTATTGTTAATTGATTTATTGGGAGATTTATTGGGAGATCAATATATATTTTTGTTGAATTGCTTTAAAACCATTCATAAAAACATTACACTTCATGTTTAAACTGCACGTCAAAGTTTCTTTTGTTATCATGATATCTATCTATAGCCTATGTATGCTTAATGAGGGTCCATCCGCTGGTACATGTAAGGCCACAAAATGCAGCTTTCCCTGTCGAGTACGGACCCCGGACATGTCACCAGTCATACCCTTAAGAGTTAATTTTGAAGCATATAGTGGTATGCATAACAATGAAGCGAATGAAATGTTACCTTATAAACTAAACTTTAATTATTTCAAAACAACCAATTTATCAACATGTTAATTATTAAACATTTGATTTCATAAATATAAATTAAAGCAGCACGCCTCCAGATTCATCCTAATTTTCATGAAAATTTTGAAAATGTATTTAAAGGTAAAATATTGTGAAATGAACAAAGAAAGTACTTGACACATTACAATCGGCACTTAAAATCCACGTCAATTACCAAAAAGAGGTCAAAATATGCATAAATAGCCCCTACTGCGTTAGTAACGCAGTAGAAATACGGTGTTAAATACTACAAAATACAGTCATTAATTGCACATAAGATAATTATTACTTGAATCTTTAATTTGTTCACTTTTCTCAAAGTTTTAGTATGGTTTTTCCAAGTTTAATTTTCTTGAAATATTTTGGGTCATCTGGAGGTATGCAGCTTTAAGAATAATTATCAAAAGCAAAATTGTTAAAGTCTTATGTCTGAAATCTTCTTTATATTGACAAATTCAATCACTAATAGTATACTTGATATGCTGTGTGTAAATGAAATTCAAAATGTAACAAATTATAATTTCATGTACTACTAAAAAAGGGAAATAACCTGAGTGTCAAAAATCAGAACATTTATAGCTATTTATAGCTTTCGAATTCATGTACAGCAGAACAGCTTTCCGGTTCTCATTCATTAATATGACATGCTGCGACTCACCGAAGGGGAAACCAATATAGAAATTGAAAGGAGTTCTTGAATGGGGATTTACTTTTAGCTGTAAATCGAAAGGATTAATTGATCAAATCCGGGGCCATGGACAAAAAAAAATAGTAAACACTAATAGCTCCGCGCCTGTGGGCGCGGAGCAATGATAATGACTAGTATCTTTTTTCTTTTCATCATCATTAAAATCATCATAATGAGCATCATCATCATCATCATCATCATAATCATCATCATCATCATCATCATTATCATCATCATCATCATCATTATAATCAGCATCATCATCATTATAATCAGCATCATCATCATTATAATCAGCATCATCATCATTATAATCAGCATCATCATCATTATCATCATTATCATCATCATTTACCAGTATTATTATTACTTCTACTGCTACTACTGCTACTACTACTTCTACCACTACTGCTACTGCTGCTGCTGCTACTGCTACTGCTATTGCTACTTTTACTACTACTGCAGCTATTGCTAAAACTGCTGTTATTGCTACTGCTACTGCTACTAATATTACTGACTCTGCTGCTGCTACTTATTATTCTTCTACTACTACTACTTCTACTTTGTTTTACCTACTGCTTAAACTGCTTCTATTTCTACTGCTCCTACTGCTACTAGCTACTAGTTACTACAACTACGACATGTATATTATCATGAATAATTCTTTATGATAACTTTAGTATAATTATCATTGTTTTATACATACACATCACAGATTGTATCGTTATCCTTATTGTTTACTGCAGGTAGATCAAGAAAAAATGTCAGTTATGGACAGGACATCCAACACTTACAACAACAACAAATGATGATGATACAGGCTATAATGGCACAACAACAGCCTGGCCAACAACAACAAATGTTTGGACAACAACAACAAATGTTTGGACAAACACAACAACCATTTGGACAACCACAACAAATGTTTGGACAACCACAACCAGTTGGACAACAACAAGAAATGTTTGTTCAACAACAACAACAACAACAACAACAACCATTTGGACAACAACAACAACAACAACCATTTGGAGAACAACAGTACGGTGTGACGCCTATTGGTATGCCAGCTGCGCAAGGTTCTCCTCTGGCTTACAACGAAGAGCATGTTAAAGAATTGCAATCCGAACAAATGGAACTTCTTAATGAAATTATGAAAAGACAAGCGGAAGAAAAAGATCCAGTAAAACTCCAGGAGTTATTCAATGAACAAAACATGCTTTTGGCACAAATGAGTCAGTTACAATCAGCCGGTTATGCTTACCCGGAACCTTTGCCGGCGCCCGCCCAGGCACAGCCTTCGCAAGAGGCGCCAATGCAGTCTTAAAATAATAAACTTTTTCTACGTTTTCTACGTTCTTCCATTGCTCAACACGTTATACAATTTACATGAATATATGAAATTTTAGAATGAACTGTTCTGCTTTACTCACTCATTTCATTTATTATTTTGTTTACAATTGTTTTATACATGTATATGAATTTTTTATGTATATGAATACTGCACATTTGTAAGGTCGTTTTTCATTGGATAATTGTGACGATTATATATAGTTTTATACACACGGCTGCAGTCAATTTATGAAGAAATCACAATTTTTCCTCTCAAAAAGGAAGTTTGCTGTATCATAAATTCGTTATGAAGATTTTTTGATTGGTTGTATATGATATAACGTTTTATGTAGGCCCATATAATCTGTCAAAAATCGTTATATCTATTAAATATAACCATTAAATGTGCATACATGTACTTCTGTATTGATTTATCTGCTTTACTTAGTAAATGTTCAAAGGTTATTATTTATTGATGTACGTTTATTGTTTATTTCATCTGATACGCAGCAACTGTCAAACGCAATAACATTTTAAATGTATTCAGTTTCAAATCGATATTTACATCGAGACGTGAAAAACTAAACGTGAAACAATACTTGGATTTGTTAATAGTATATATGCTCGTGAAGTTGGCAGCCTGGCAGCATGAAGCTGGCAGCTTAGAAGCCTGAAGTTGGCAGCCTGGCAGCATGAAGCTGGCAGCTTAGCAGCCTGAAGTTGGCAGCCTGGCAGCATGAAGCTGGCAGCTTAGCAGCCTGAAGTTGGCAGCCTGGCAGCATGAAGCTGGCAGCTTAGCAGCCTGAAGTTGGCAGCCTGGCAGCATGAAGCTGGCAGCTTAGCAGCCTGAAGTTGGCAGCCTAGCAATTTAGCAGCCTGAAATTGGTAGCCTAGCATCCTGAAATTGGCAGCTTAGCAGCCTGGAATTGGCAGCCTAACAGCCTAAAGAAAACCAAAAATATAAGTAACAAGAAAACGGTCAAGAACGCTTTATAAGCACTTCCTTAGATTAATATACGCTTATTTTCATTATCAAGATCTTCACATTTTAAGATGCTGAATTTTACAGTCTTCGAAGCTTTTGATTTTGGCAGACTAACAGTCGTCTTAAGGCTGCCAGTTTCAGGCTGCTCGGCTGCCAGGAAGCCAACTTCAGGTTGCTCGGTTGCTAGGAAGCCAACTCCAGGCAGCTAGGCTGCCAACTTCAGGCTACTAGACTGCCAACTTTTTTTTTCAGATTTTTTTTTTTCACAACACAAAACATTTATGCATATACATACAATATAATGAGCTATACAATTTAAGAGGAACAAAGATTTCTTTTAGGATTCTACAAAGATTATAAAGAAAGTAATTCAATAGTACCTTACCAATATTGTAAAACGTTATCAATGCCAGACCTATTTTTAATATAACATTAGATAGAAATTATTTAGAACTTTAACATCACGATTATCTACTCAAGGGAAACAAATGCTACTGTTTTAATATTGATGTTCAATTAAGAGTTGTTCCTCTTGTCATGAATGTTTTCTGCATTAATAATAATAATAAAAAGACCAAAAGTCATAAAAGGTGTTTTACAAAAAAGGCAGTGGGTGCAGTACCGAGTGGATCTATCCTAAATAAATAGGCAGCAAAGAAATATAATTTTCTCCATAAATATTTTTTTAATCGGACTTTACTGCTTTTATTGACAGAACTTCAAGTTCATGTGTTTAAATGCTAAATCTTATTTCAAGAGAGACCTGCATATAGATCTATACATCTATGTCAGAAAAGTATTTGCAACGTTCTTTAATATAGTCACGGTTTTTCTAACATTTGACAAAACAAAACTTTAGAAAAAATGGATGGGTCTGTAAGGTCTGTTTTTAAGAAAAATGATATTCATGATAAAATAAATTCTAAGGAATATCATAATAAAAAATCTACCTTCCGCTACTTAAACACACGAATTGAATCGAGGTATATTTTATATTTATTTATTTATGTCCAGAGCAGCTTCATAATTTCTTTAATGTTTGTTCACGGCAGCTTATGATCTGAAAGAAATTTGCAGAAGCTAGCTCGGCTATAATTTAATTTACCCAGTATTTTGAGCATGCGAGAAGGAGATCGAATGACCTGTTTAGAGGAGGAGCCAGATATATAGGTCTTTGCAAAATACTCTGACGTATTGTGTATAAATAGATCTAGGTTTACACTTAATATTATCTACAGAAATCAACCTTGTAGACATTTTCAGTGGAACAAGTTCTCAAAAATAAGAAAGAAAAGTTTAAAGGACTATAGTGTAAGTTATTTTTTTATTTACTTGAATGTTTATATATGATCTTAAAGGTTTATAGTCCCAGGTTAATTTTACATATTTATTGCAGTAGTTGAACGTTATATTTTAATTAATGTTTTTCAGCTATTTCGATTATTGACGCATTTATACATTTCAATTTATAATGTAGTATTTACATAAGAACAAAATCTATATAAGTTACAAAAATGACTGAGGCTAATAAATGTGAATATATAGCAGACCTCACTATTCTATAATGTACAAAACAAACTTGCTGGTGCCTAATTATAAAATTGGCATTTTCCGCATCAAAACAAAACTAATAATGTATGGACAAGTCAGTCACGTGATCTGAGTGGTTTGCAACTTTGTATATACTTACTTTTAAAATTCATCGGACTGCTTGAATATCCATCTTAACCAGATTATTAATAAATTCATTACTGATAAGCCAAAGCGTCAAGCTTTTCTCGTGCCCTCTTTCATTTCACGGATATTACAGTTTCTTGCAAAATTTAATGTGAAGGCAACTAGTACTGGTAAACGGCTTGACAGCGGTGGCTGCAAGTATGTGCTTTGGTGTATTAACTGTGGTAGAATTTAGGAACATATTTAAGAATATCAATACAGTTTTCCTATTCAGTTTATGTACCGCACATATCATTCTATTTTCGGTCCTAAAATGTTTATTTAAAAAGTTCAGTAAACGGACAATAAACATTCAATGTTTCTATTAATTGTTCAAATATGATTTCTTTTGCATTATCAAGCGTTACGTCGTGAATTTATACAATGTAACCCACTTGATCTGAATAATTTATTAATTGCTGAAAAATATCTTATAGATTTTAATTCAGTTTATTTAGAATCGGCGGAGTGATCAATAACAGCTTGTTAATATACTTATACGACACTTTACCTCCTGGGTCCGGTAGAGCTAGTCGAAAATTGTCGTGTTACGTCTCGTATTAGAAGAACACTTTAAATAACTGCTACCTTCCACGTGGATTTAGTGCAGGTGTCCTGCTTTGGCCACTTAAATGACGTACACCTTTTAACATGCAAGTCTTATGTCGCCCTGCTGTTGTTTGTTTGTTTGTGTTTTTGTTTTTGTTTTCTTTGGCATGAAAGATTTTTGTTCTAAAAGTCTTGTGTCGCCTTTCTGTATTTTTTCATAGAGATTTTACATCCCTTAATTCGAGACGTAACTTATGTACAATACTAATGGCTTTACCGTGGGAGTTCTTAGAAAGAGAATGTTTTTATCTCGCTTGAGACAATTTGTTGTTTATCCTTGTTAATTGTCTTCTAATTAACGTTCTTTCCTCTATAAGAAGACACTTTTGAAGAAAACCTTGTACTAGCGCAATATTGACATTCATTCACAAAGAATATATATTGTAATGGAATGTGCGAAAAAATAGTGTATTACTTAAGTTAATTAGTTAAGATTTAAAGGGATTTGTTAACAAAAAACATGAGTTGTAAAATGTTTAAACTACTAAACTTAAAATGCTATGTAAAAAATGGAAATAAAAGAATACTTTGAAAACAATGACTCTGGAGATGATTTCTATATTCAAATTGCTATGATTTAAATTTCATAAATCGTCTTGTTTTATACAGGTACACATCATGGGGCTCGGAGGGATTGGGGGTAAAGGGCGCTCAGGCGGAGGGTTCGGAGGACGCACAGGCGGACGCACAGGCGGACGAACAGGCGGAGGGTTCGGAGGGCGCGCAGGCGGAGGGTTCGGAGGGAGAACAGGACACGGGGGGTTCGGAAGGCGCACAGGACTCGGAGGGCACAAAGGTCGTTCTAACCGAGTTGGCATTGCCGGAGGGGGAACAGGGTTTGGCCGTCGTAGTCGGGGGAGTGGTGCAAGTCTTTTTTGTTGCATGGGTAAGATTTAAGCTATACTGTTAGATAAAGTATAATCATGATTATAAAAATGGATATCAAATTGAGCGTCAGTAATGTGATTCTACCCTCTAAAATTTTCTCTAAATTTGACCATTTTTGTATCAGATTTTTTTTTATTCTTTGTTGAGATATTCTTTCCGTTGTTGGTTCTGGTGTGCCCAAAGTATGCAAACTTATGAAGAAAATATCACTTAACGGATTCAAAATACAATTTTTACTAAATCTTAACACCGAACGATGTTAATCTTTCAAACAAACCCTTATTGAAATATTGAGATTTGACACAATATAAGATAAAAGACTTGCTGGCTAAAATTCCAGTCTAGCTTCATATGTGCTGAAGAGATCCATATGTGATAAAGAAAATCATCTACAAAACTACGGATCACTTTCATATAAACATTAAATAGGCAATCTAAAGGAACAAGTAAAAATTAGCGGAAATTTACATATTTATTTTTACCGCTGCTCAATTTTGAGGCCTACATGGGGTTCACCCCATATGTTGGTGCGATGTAAAACCTCACCAGAAAAAAAATAATGTTTCTGCTTCCTACAAAACTATGGATCACTTTAACATCAACAATAAATAGCCAATCTAAAGGAAAATTAAACATCAGGGTAAATTCACATCTTTATTTTTACCGATGCTCAATTTTGAGATCCATATGGTGTTCCACTCTCGAGACTGTGATGGTGAGACGTAAAACTTCACCAAATAACAAAATAATGCTTCTGCTGCTGCTGCTGTTGGTTAAACTACTACTAATGTTGTTGTGGTTGTTGCCGAACTGCTGCTACCACTACAATTATTACTACTGCAGATGTCACAAATACTACCTGCTTCTACTCTAAACTCTAAATTAGTTGTAGAAAGAGCTGCTGCAATACTACAACTGCTACTGCTGCTGCTGTTACTGCTGATCTACTGCTGCTGCTAATGCACTGCTACTGCTGCTGCTACTGCTATTGCTGCTACATCTGTGCTACTGCTATTGCTGCTATAACTACTATTACCGCCGCCGCCACCACCATCACCGCCACTACTACTAGTAGTAGTACCGCAACCACGACTCACTACTACTTCTACTTCTGCTGCTACTGCTGCTGTTGCTGCAACTGCTACTAACTGCTGTTTACCACTACTAAATGAATTTTATCATTACTTCTATAAGCTCATATTTAATAAATCGTATCTGTAATATAATTATTATCAATATCGCATAGGTCAATATGTCTTTCTACAAGTGAATATCACATCATATTCAATTGCTCACTAGTCAATAACTACATGTATATAGTGTTTTAGACTACTACATATCACATATATTATATTATCCCTATGGTTCACTGCAGGTGGAGAAGATGCCACATATGGAAAGGACGTCAAACATTTACAACAACAACAAACGATGATGTTACAGATAATACAGGGAATGCAGCCATATCTACAACAGCTTGGTCAACAACAGCAACAACAAATGATTGGACAGCAACAACAGTCAGTTGGACAACAAGCAATGTTCGGACAACCACAGCCTGTTGGACAACAGCAATATATGTTTGGACAACCACAACAACCAGTTGGACAACAACAAGCAATTTTTGGACAACAACAACAACAACAAGTTGGCCAACAAGAGAACGGTACGACGTTGATAGGTATGCAAGAGTACATCAAAAGGAATGTTGAAGAATTTCAATCAGAACAGATGGAACTTCTTAATGAAATTAAGGAACGGCAAACTGAAGAAAAAGATCCAAAAGTACTACAAGAGTTATGCAATGAACAAAACATGCTTTTGGCACAAATGAGTCAGCTACAAACAGCCGGTTATGCTTACCCGGAACCTTTGCCGGCATCTACCCAGGCACCGACTCGGCAAGAGGCGCCGACATGGCCGATGCAGTCTTGCTCTACGTAATCGTTCTCTACAAAACACAGAACACTAACATCAATGACGTTTACACGATAAATAATAGAGAATGATACGTGTACATGTTTATTTTAATAAATGAATACAAATAGATGCTGCTGTAAAATTATTTGCTATCAATCATTATTTTGGAAATTATACGGATTGGAAGTGATGCTTTTCTTGTTTGTTTGTTGTTGTTTTTTGTGGGGTTTTTGTTTTTGTTTTGTTGATTATACTATTTTTTTTCTTTGTTATTTGTTTCACTTTTCCGGTTCACGGCAGTTTCACCAGAGCATATTTCATCCAACGTGTCGTTTTTGGGTAAGCTGTCAAGCAGTTTACCAGTGCTAGATGCTTTTGCACAACGACAGTGACCTGCACCATCCGGGAATCGAACCAGGGTCGCACGGTTCGGTGTCTAATGCTCTACCGATTTAGCTGACTGGACGATGTATGCATGTTTGTCTAGTATCGAATCTGTGTTCTTTAATGAGGGTTCATCCACCCGTTAGAGCACAAAAAGCAAATTTGACTGTCGAGTACGGACACCGGACATGTCAACAGCCATGCCTTTTAACAGTTAATTTTGAAGCACAAAGTCTTTGTAATTTATCCCCCTTGCAATATCCTTAGAGTACTAGCCAAAGATGAAAGTATGTCACTGTACAGCGGTCAATGTGCACGTTAACGTACATTAGCTCGGGACAAAATGAAAAGGGCTGTTGGTGCCACGCAAATGCCCTACCATTTAAGCCGCCACTTCGTACTGCGGATTCACACATCCGAGTAACCTTACTCGTTGTCCCTGTCTACTTTGCAGGATCACTCCCTCGGCTCATTCTGTACATCGGCAGCTGGTTCGTAGAATGCGAGAGTGGCTTAACTCCTCCTATCTCTTTGGTGATAGTCTGACGTCATATGTCTCTCATCTATTATTCTATGTACAGATCTTAACCTTAAAGGCCCTTTAATTCCCAAAAATGCTATTACTTTTATTTCACAAAATCTTCTTGTTTTCGGTGTATGTTTTCAGTTTCCAAAAAGTTAATCATTGGCCAAATGTTGAGTTATTTATTGCTCTTTTGTGATTGGCGTAATTATATTGGTTATCTTGTATGGAAGTCAAATATTACTTTGTTTACATTTTAATACCTACATGGCACATAAATGCATGTTTTGTGGTACTTTCTTCAGTTGTTTAACATCTAATATGCTCTAAATTCATTATTAAACCATTATTTAGCACACATTTGACATTTGAAAACAATTTGAAAAAAGGGATTTCTGAGTCAAAGTGGGCCTTTAATGAGTGAAAATATCTCTCTTTTTTTCTCTCAGTCATACTGCGCCAGGAGCTGCAGTAATTGAAATTTTATCACGCGAGTGACAAAAAAATGTAATTTCGAAGTTTCTTTCCATTGAAAATATCAGCTTGACTTAAATATATATAATTAAAGGGAAGCTAATCTGTTAGACACCATCTAAAACTCTTTAAGATTTCTCTCCCTTAAATTTTATCAAATGCAGTAAAAATATGCGCTAGCTAATCTATAGTATATACTTATAAATAAAATATTGAGCAACATTGATGAAATAAAATGTGTATTTTTATTTTCCGTATTTTCACTTTAAAAATTTATTTTTCACTGCAGGGAAACATATTTTCCATATTTTCACTGGTGTCTAGTCGGACTATTTTCTTCTAATTCAGCCAAAATACAAAACTAAAAGGGAATTCTACCTATTCATGAGATTAAAAAAGAGAAAAAAAGTATAATTGTATACTTATAAACAAAACATTGAGGAATATTGATGAAATAAAATGCTTATTTTTATTTTCCGTATTTTCACTTTAACAATCTATTTTTCACTACAGTGAAACATATTTTCCGTATTTTCATTGGTGTCTTACCGGACTATTTTCTTCTAAATTCAGCCAATATACAAAAGTAAAAGGGAATTCTACCTGTTCATAAGATTAAAAAGAGAAAAAGAATATATTGTAAACAGAAAATTATCATTATCGGGCGGAAAATTATCATATTTCACTCGTGGTTACTGGCACTTGTGAAATATTTATTTTCATATATCTGGATGAAAATAAATCCTGTATTTATAGAAGAAACTTAAATATCCTCTATACATCAAAATATTGATTAGATTTGAAGCAGGACTAAGTTTTGTCCTCATCATCCAGATGGCTAATCGTTTGAAGAGTCAAATTTAGACAAACTGTTCAACAGTACCGACGGAGCAGTACCGACGGAGCAGTACCGACGGAATTACGAAAAAATCCGTTGATGAATAATGCATTAATTGCGTTTCAAAAAATGTACTTTTTATTCATTGATGATAGGCTGTAAAACTCCCATTTACACTGTCTCGGTTTGGCGTCCCTGTTTGCCATCGGGAGCAACCGTGCTTAACCGGCGTAGGACCATAGCGATTCCGTGAAGAACCGGTACAAACCTTGGTGAATCGGGACAAACCGGGACATCGCCACGGTTGCATTAAAATGTTTAATACTTTTTCAGGGCTCATCGGCACTCACCAAGAAGGAAGCCCAGAACCGTGTTCTATCGGCTTGACACCGGGAATCGCCGGGGAACCACCGTATCTATACCGCATCCATACCGTGACAAATGGTAGTAAACAGGGATGCGTGTTAATTAATGTCAAAACAACAACATAACGTCTCCACGTGACAACAATATAGTGATGTAGAAATCAGCCACCACAGAAAAGCGCTGCATATACATGTGTTAGACTTTATTGTCATCTTTCATAGCGATTCTTGTTTAGTTTTGTCATTGCAGTAAAAGATTCGACTTTTACTTTTATAAAAACTTGCAAATTTCTGCAAAACAATTGCAAGAAAATAAAAATAGCATAGATTTTTTCTTGTCAAATTTATTATTTCTAGGTCACAGTGTTCATACAGCTTTGTAATACATATCACCAACCTTTCAATGAAAGACTGTTACAGACTTCATACAATAAAAGTTTGTTGATACATTGCTCAATCTTTAGCTATTTCTTCTACTTAGCATTGGAACCCGAATTTCTAACACTTTAGGAAGTGGTTTCAATAAACATTTTGTAAGAAGTACTGTACATATGAACAATAAAATCCAAGAAATACTTTGTCCAAGCAGTAAATAAATAAACCATCGAGGTGAAAACCTTTCCATTGTATAGCCGAACAGCAATGGAAATAACATTACACCGGTTGATGCAGACATCAAAAACATGGCCGACATCTTTCCCGAGACCACAACGATATTTTCATTCGTCCATGTGAACATGGCCGGAAATATAAATGACAACGATATTCCCGGACAGCCAATGAAAATCCATATCAATGGCTTAATACCATAAAGCGTTGAAAGCAATAATCCTGTAAATGAAAGTACCGCCAATATACCAAATATGATCATTAGTTTAGATGTTTTAACAAATCGGACAAGAAAAATACACCCAAGTCTTGCTACCCCAAAACACGCCCAGTGAAGAGAGCTAGCCAATGAACCTTCCGATTTTGTCCAATGTAATTCTGTCAACACAAATGTCATTAAAAACCCAGCATATGTGTCGTCAGTTCCACAATAAATTATGATCAGAAGCGATAGACATGTAAGAATTACTACCCTTACCGGAAGCGGTAATTCTTTAAAATTTGTCGGGTCCCTTTTCTCTGTTACAGCTTCAGTTTTCGCGACATCCTTTGGACGTAGACAAAGCATCATAGAAAATGGAATTACTGTTATGAGTGTTAATATACCTGTTATCAAATATGAATATTGCACTGAGGTTTCTCCAAACGCATGAACTTTTGTACCCGTGACATTTTCTTCCGCTGTAACTCCTAATAAAACGGAACTATTTTCTTGTACATGCAAGCCCAAACTAGAGTTAAGTAAATGAACCGATTCATGAGTATGTTTATATTCTAAAGAACTATTTTCAACACTGATAGTACTGTCATTGGTAGATGATTCTATTTGAGTTGCCAGGAATGGTTCGGCTATAAATGGGGCAATCGCTCCGCCGATGCTGAAGCAAAAATGTATTGCTTGCATATAAGGTGCTGCGTCGGCGCCCCAAATATTGACAATTTCAGCATTTCCACCTGAAAAATTATAATAATCAAGAGCTTTAGATACGTCTTCTTTGCTTGTTTTATATTTTAACATAAAATCAATGACCCTATTAACCCAAAGGAGTAGAGATATATTACACCACCAAAATGTAGTAACAAGGAACTCTTTACAGAGCTGCCACAGATCACGTGACACCTACTGTTTTGAGAACCACGAAGATCCATTGACAGCAATGGTAACACATTCCAAAGATGAAAATTGCAGACTCTGTTAGATGGAGTATCAAGATTTAGTAAAATGCTGCATTTCTAACGACCCTTATCACCGGTGTCATATGAGTTTTGCAAGTACCATGAGATATGCAAGTACGCATGCGCAAAAATGTTATTTTCGTTTTCACACTTCCGGTATGAGATTTGCAAGTCGTTTGCTGCGGTAAGTAAAATTTTATCACCGGCTAAAACATTAACCAATCTTCAACAAGTTAAAAAAATTGATATCAATGATAGAAAAATGACACCAGAAATTAAGTTGCTTGATTATACCGACGTACAAGATACGGAAATTAGCGAAATATGCCGAACGCATTTGGGTTTTCTCCCCTTTATAGCTTCTAATGGGATAAAGAAAAGCATTTGGTCCGGATTAGAATTCAGATTAAAACTCTGATTAAAAGATTAGCATATTTCACGTTATATGGTTTAATTTACCATTTGAGGAAAATTCTTTTCAGGACTGACCAGTTTCAGATTCAGATTTTCGGATACATCCATTTTGCCAAACATGTTTATATTGTAAAATGTGAATATTATCGTTTGCATATTTCTACTTAACTATTAAAATTCTGTAAGAAATGCCACGGTATCCTTTAACCTTGCACCGCATGAGCATATTGCGAAAAAATGGCCGTTTTCATTGAAAAGCCTCCTGTTACAAGTTCAAACTGCTATGAAACTATGAAAAAAGCTTCAATACTGATGAAAAACTTGGTACAAATGGTGACTGGACCATAACCTCTGTAACAGCATGCTCAATCTTTGATTTCCTGTTACCATGGCAACGAGGGAACGTCTCAAAATTGCCAAAAATCACTATTTTACATTGTTTTTTTCCCCATCAAAACTGATTTCAAAGTTCTGCAACTTCTCAATGGATTGAGAAAGTATAAAAGGCTTTTCAGCGTTAGTTACACGTTACTTTACGATCGACCTGAGGCCATTTTTAGCCAGTCACATGTTCAAAATTTCTAGGCGATGAGGGGGGGGGGGGGGCTGCCGCCCCCTTTGAACACCCAAAAACAGAAGGGTGCACATCCCTCTTCTGGCAACCCTTTGATGTACCTTTCTGAAAGGGGGCGGCGCCGAAAAAGTAATCCCTTTTTATCAACATTTCTCAAACGAAAACATGTGTTTGGGGTCCAAACAGGACATGTTTTCACTATTTGAGGCCTAAACGGGGTGGGGGTCGAAAGTGCGTTGTTTCGCGTATATATGAGGTAAAGTAAACTCAGCAATTAGCTATTTTAAATTTAAACCTTCAGACAGTTCAATCTAATATTCTATTGTAATAGAAACTGTTGATTTATATTGGTTACTTGACTAACGTCTTTCTTTGACCTGGCTACATAATTATTTCCATGTCAGAAACATCGACTGCTGAGTTTGTTGTTGTTGTTGTTGTTGTTGGGTTAGCTTTACTTAATTTAATCGAAGTGGTTACCTCACCTGTATCGACCCCTGCTGCAAACATTCCCGAAATGCACTTCACCACCATCATTAACCAGAAATAGGTGCACCATGGAACAGCCACCATTGTTACCGCTGTTCCAATGATTGAACCGATCACTAGAACCAGTTTGTCGTATTTGTCGTACATAAGACCAGTCACGCCGGAACCAATCAGGAAACCGGAAGCTGTAATTGTCACGAGCCATGACGCAGTTTCAAGGTTCTCGCCTGTAATTAGACGAAGGTCTGGAAATGTTGGTCCAAACAGTGACTCCACCCATCCCTGAAACAAATACTTGTTAATTTATATATTGTTTAACTCCTTCATTTCTATATGTACTTGTATACAACTTCATATGAACAATATGTATTTTATAAGCCCCTTGTCATGTACAATTGCCCTTTTTGAAGGTTTCTCTATTCTTTTTCTAAGCACAAGAATGGCATTTAATCTACAAAACTGGTACAAATTCAATGGAAGTTTATATAGAATTATCGTTCCATTTTATTTTGCATGAGTATTATTTCTATTCACATTGTCCGAATCATTTGCATTTGGAACTACAGTGTAACCTCCACAGAACGGCCCTCTGTTAAGCAACAAACCTCTTACCAACAGTTTCAACTCTTTCTCTGCCGTTTTAACCTTTGTAGAGCAGCACCTCTAATCAACGCCCAAAATCTGTGTCTCCAAAAGGGTGATCTTCTGCAGAGGTTTTACTGTAGTTCGCTTGAAAAAAAAAGTTCAGACAATGCCACGATATGATTATGTGTAAGATTTACCCACCAGCATAATAAAAGTCCAGCATATCCAGACAGTGTGCAAGAACTTCTCCCTGTATATCGGTTGTGTCTTTAACTTCGTCAGTAAAGATGTACTCTTCTTCGCCATTTCCACGTTGATTTTTCACGGTGTAAAAGATTGTCAGTTTATCATTGAAGATGCACTCTTAACTGTACACAAGGGTGGACGAAATCACTGCATCACGTCTTGCAAGTCTGTGTAATTCATAGTGTACCATAGTTTGCGATAACAAGCACCTGCTACTTCCGGTCTATGAGCTATAAATATAATTACACCTATTTCAACTTGTTTCTTTCTTGCGATAACCGGAAGTAAACTCGTTATACACTGTGCTATTTGATCTTATGTCGATCTAGTTCCACAAATGCTTCCCTTACCGCGTGTTATAAAAAGAAATGAAAACAGATTTAAAAAGTCGTAAGTCGGTACATTTGTATATGCACGACTCGTGATCAATTTACGACAGATGACTTGAAATTGAATGTTGTTCTAATGTAAGACAACTTGAAAATTAGCCAACGTGAATCTACAATCCGACGAATTTTTAAAGTCCAGTTTTAAAAACTTATTCTTAACACATTGAAGTCTTCAAAAATTGACTTTAGTTAGGATACATTTAGAAGAGCTAGAGTTTAAATGAATAGGAAAAGTGAATTGTTAAAATTGGATTTCAAAATATTGATTTTACATAATGTGCCTTAATCTTGACCATGGTATTTGACAAATCCGTACGGTCAAGTTAATTCTATAAATATAGTGAAGTGGAACAGTTTGATGCTTTACGTATGGAAGACCGGTGGGGACATTTCAACTGCATGAATTCCCGATTTCATCTTCGTGAATTCACAAATTGAAGCTGTAAAGTTGAAGTGCTGAATTCGTGACATTGAAACGATGAATTCATGAAATTAAAATTGTGAATTCGTGAATCCATGACGTTTGAATTGTGAATTCATGAAGATGAAATCGGTAAATCTTGAAGTTGAAATGTCCCCACCGGTCTGTTATATACATGTATACGGGTCATAGGAAAACGTTCTATTTGAAAACAACGACTAGATATGGTGTTTGTTGAAATCACGATCTATGATAAAAATAATCACCATGAACGTGTATTTTCTTGTTAACAACACAAGTTAATTAAGTAAATTGCACGATAATTGTACCTTTAGTCTTGATGAATATATATCTCCATTTAAGTAGTCGCTGGCAGGCGAATGACAATTTAAAATGTTTACACACTAGTTAACATAAGTTATCTCCCTTTGAAGTATGATCTCACATTGCCAGGTAAATGTTTAATATCCAAAGTTCATTTTCGTGTTGCGTTTTCTAAAGGTAAAACGTTAGGTTGAATGCATATCCGTACAAAGAAAATGTTACACTGAGTTTTCATGTCGTTGTGACAATTTGACCTCTTTCGTTGTCTATAGTATAAAATCGACTGACCATCTTATCACAGATAACTCTACCACGTGATATCATTCTTAAAGCTTTAATCTCTCTATATACACATATGGGGTATAAATGTGATTTGAAAATGTAGTCATGTATTCATCGTAAAAGTTATGCGAGATAGAATCTAAAGTTTGAGCATCTAGGCATTGAGTAAAATAGTATATTTCTACTCAAAATGCATGTTCAGAAGATAAAAAGTTTTTCTAGATCTAAAAATACAGTTTCAACATATTTACCAGCATCTATATCTGTTAACCATGCTTCTAATAGCCTAATTAGCGCATGTGATATGAAAGGTACTGTCTAAACCCTTCATGATACTGAACAAAATTCATTATTTTCAAAGATTTTATCTTTTCTTATCCTTTTATATAATAATATCTTTTAAATGTCAGGATATACCTTAAAAGCTTCATTAACAGCCGTTTTAATTGTTTGGTTTTTTTTACAAAACTTCTACACAACTTTAAATGATAAGGCTCCTGGACCGCTAGGTCGTTGGACCAATAGACCGTAATCTTCACGCCGCCAGGCCGCCGTGCCGCTAGTCTGCCAACTTTACGCTACTAGGCCACTAGGCTAACTTTACGCCGCTCGGCTGATGCCGCTAGGTCGCCAACTTCACACTTGCCGACTTCTGTTACACGGCAATGGTTACTTTAATAATTTTTTTTTGTCTTAGAAGTTTTCGTGTAGCCTTTGTACGTCCGACACCATCTTAACGTGCGTGCTTTTTACTGTACTGTATAATTTAATAAAAACAGTCAGTAGCTTACTTATAAGGCATGAAATTAGAAAAAAAGGTGATCGCCTTTTGTTAACATGCGAAAGCGCAGTTTAAAAAGTATTCATTGCATTTTGTTAAAATATTGCAATTTTCTCTCCGCCCAAAGTGATATATAGAGAATACAAACTTAAAACTAAACAAATAAACTATAAACTTAAGATTCGGTGTGAGTGGAACGTGCATATTGTCGATTTTCTTTGACCTTACGCCCGTAGCAGTCAATATATTTCCAACGCAAACTTATACTAAACTTGTCTTAAATGTACTATAAATCTTGAGAAGACAAACAAAAGTTGAGACCCGAATATTTCAATTAGGTATATATCTATCAGTACCAATCAATGAACCGTCTTAAATCGGTGAATCGGGCGATCCGGGTTCGATTTTCGGACGGCGCAGGTCACTTTCGTTGTGATTAATCATGAAATCTTTTCTAAGGTTTTTCGCACTTTACCTCTGTTGGCATGTGCAGAAGTTATCAGTTTCTTGCGAAAGTTAAGGCAACTAGTAATGTTAAAATGTTTGACAGTCTGCCCGGCTAAACTTTGTTCTGGTAAATTAAATGTGGATTTTACTGCCGTGATACGTAGTGAAAACTACCAACACCAACAACATAATAAGTAATTTAAGTTAAAAACTTTGTTGTCGTTGTTGTTGTTGTGTTATACGAACATTTTAAAGGTTTCAATGATACGATTATCGTGTGTTAAACATGATAATTTCGACAATATACATTAACACGTGTGATGTTAGTTTAAACATATTTATTCAAGTTCGATTGCGAAACAAGTTTTTTGCAACTTATACTAGTATTAATCACTTTCGAATCCGCTCCCCGGAACGAACCAGTACAGGTGTCATATGGGAAAAAATGGTCGTGTCCCGAGAAGGGTTCGAACCCATGATCTCTGTCATGGGTTTAGGGTGTGATATTTATTACTGTTTGTTATTTTGGCAAAATACCGAACTACATGTGTTTCGAATTAAACTCGTTGCCAATATCATTTTTACAAAAAAAACAATGAAAAAAATCTATTAAGAAAACATCAAAAACTTACATGGCCGGTTAACATGGCTCATAAAGAACAAAAAATAATGACATCAGCATTTTCTTTATTTATTACGTCACATAAAACATACTTATGACAAGATCTAAAGCATGCAATGTAAATACTTCAAATTTAATAGAATAAATTTAACAACGTGGTGAAAACTGAGGAGCTCCACTGGGGTACAAAAAAACCTAAGAAGTTCTTACATCGATCAAGTAAAGCGCTTATTATGGAAAAACTGCAAAAGTTAATTAACAAATAATGCGCGAAATAAAAATAAAAACTCGATTTTGCGTATTTTATGTCCCGAAGCTATAAATTTTGGGTCATTTAAAAATTAAAAATGATGATTCTGTAAGAATAATCTGAAAATGTGCACACTAGTTATTTGTCTAGACCTTCATCAAATGGTACACAAATCTCAAGAAATTATTTCCAGTCCCGTCATGTCATAAAAAGACCTCAGTGGAGTCCCTATAAGATTTTATTACTCTTCAATGAAACGAGGAGAAACTTCCTTCTAGTGCAATGAATAAATTATATAATTTATAAAGATATAAAGTATCAATATTTTATGTCTGTCAGGGTGTTTTATTTTTTCATACATAAGCAGCACGCTTCACTGTTCATGCCATTTTCTTCATTTATGTATTATATAATTTTTGTCAGTAACCAATACGGCAGGTGCAGTAATGATCATTGCCCAGTGATTAGTTTACTGCTTAGTGCTGCGCCACTATTCACTGCTTTAGTTTAGTAAATACTTACTTAAGAACACTTTCAATTAAATCTAAGAGCTGAAATTAACAGAAACAGGCTATTATGTAAGCAAGAAAAAAAGTGACAAAAACAATAAATTTAGTCATACACTGTATTTTGCTTACTGATATGACAAAAAAAGTTCACTTGGATTTTAAATATTATATGCAATAGTTCTTCATCTGTCAAAATCGGTTTCTTCAGAGTGATTCTTTGATTATTACTTTTAACATATTTATTTTAGCTCGATTGCGAAACAAGTTCACGCAACTTTCGAATCCGCTTCCTTAAACCAACCAGTACTGGTATTATATGAAAAATCATGGTCGTGACCCAAGTAAGACTCGAACCCTTGAGAGTCGGACACTAGGCCACCGCTTTCCTTATCTATCTTACAGCGTTAATGATTTATTATCTAGAGGAACAGAAAATGACGTCATTTATCATTGAAATATACTAATACCAAGAAAAGCATTTGTCATATTCAATTAATCAAGCATTGGATAATTATTAAAGTAACAAAGTAGTTGGACGAAAAAACTGATTCACATAGAAATAATGACACATTACTGTGATGTGCCTTTTTCTGCTTCATAATATACACATGCCTAGTTTTTATTTCATTACAAAGTCTTGTCAACTATGTCAAATAAGTCTCATGAGTTAATTTATAGACTATAAATGTAATCACTAGAAATACGATTCCCCTTAAATAATCTATATGATTTCTTTCTGTATTATCCTAATGAAAAAAGTCATTTATTTTTTTTTTAATTTTTTTTTAAACTACTTTGCCGTGTTAATCATAAATAAACTTTTGCTTGGTTAAGTGCTCTTTTTTTGAATACTATATGGATTGCCTTTCCGGCAAATACCGGGAAAATGTTGGACTTTAGCCCGTAAATTTACCGGAAGTCACGGTAAGAAATACCAACCTACGGCTGAAAAATGCAATATTCGGTTAAAATCCAAACATTTGCACTATTATTTACCGTGTTTGCATGCTTTATTATGTTGCCTTAAGCTTTGCGAGCTACCTGAAGTGGTTTAAATATAATGATATAAATGGTTATAACAGATGTACAGAACTATAGCTGAATAATTATTAATTGTAAACATTTGGCAAGTTTTGTCAAACTTAACAAAAACACACACCCATGAAAGCTCATTGTGGTGAAAAGTTTTCAAATACTTCACATTCATATTCTTCAAGTTTTAATCAAATTCCTAAATAAAGGACAAATTCATGACAATTCAAGCAAATTTCAGTTATAAGTGTTGTTTTGACTCAACATGAATCAAAACCGTCTGTTAATGATTTAAGATCTTGACGGTGATTGTCAAGAATTTTTCAACTTGCCAGTTTTGTCATAAGTGTTGTTAATGAATCAAATACATTGAAAAAAGGCAAAGTTATAGCCAATTTTAGCATGACTTAAAACATTGACCATGCAGGTCAAGGTCGCATGTCGAGATAAAGTTATGAATTTACCTTCTTTTAACGTATTATCAAGATTAGTTATAACAAAAGTATTAGACAATATATTCATTAATCAAAAGAAATAGTCAAACATAGCAAATGGAATGCTTTGAACTTCGAGATCAAGGTCATTTTTGGACAAGGTCAAATTTAGTTAGGTCTTCTTAAAGGTCTTGTTCCAAGGGTAATTAATTTATTATTTCCAATATCATGTTATAACCAGCTATAGCGAAACTAACTCAAGCATTTTCACCTTCAATGTCAATGTCTTAAATGAGTCAAGGTAAAATTCAGTCTAGTCTACAAATGGGTCTTGACCAAATGTTGTTGTGTCCGAGACTCGGAGTATGAAGACAATCAATTAGCAAAAAAAGAAAAGATAATTATGATTAAAGTTTTCGGACGGCAACGATATCGACAATGGGAACGACAACATGACTGTGGCAATATCTCGAATAGATAGGATGATACAATGAACAATGACCCTAAATCAAGTCATATTCAATAGCGGAATACGTCGGATAGATGTGAACATTATACACGTGCAGGCATAATAATCTCTTAAATTGGAATCAAAGTGTTTCCGTAGACTGAATAATGTTATTCAAAGTGAGGATATGTAAATTAAGTGTGCACATTGAAATATTAACAAACATTTAAATCATATAAATATGACGTCCTTATATTTTCTCTGTCTCGTTCCATACATAATAATTCATCTTGATACTTTTGTCAAATACAAAATGCACTAATAGTTAATCACACGTAGCACAGTTAAGTCAAACGAAATATAACAGATAAACACTATCAAAACAGTGCAATACCACATAATAAACACCAGTGAAACAACACTATATCATACGATACATAAAATGGAAATCTAGTACTAAATTAAACTTTTTTCTGAGATCCGGTAAGTTAGAGTGATAATTTGCTAAAGACGGACGCATGATTTATCAACCAATCACATCTCTCTGTACAAAATAACCATTTGTTAAAAAAAACAACAATAGAATTGTACTTCCGGTAAAAAGAATTTCAATCCACCCAACCTTCAAAGCAGTCAATTTTAATAAATACTCGTAAAAGTATACTCATACTATTTTTATCACAAAAAAAGAAATGTTATTTTCAAAAGTACATGGAATTACATGAAGAAATAATCGCCAGAGTTAAATATAAATGCTACGGATGTATGTTTTATGATATTTAACTAATTATATACGATAATACAGATGGAATTGCCAAACAAAATGCTAATTGCTAATTTGCTAATCAAAAGAACATATTGCCACATTGACAATAAAAAAATCGCCAAATTGGCAATAAAAAATGCACATTGCCTTGAGAACACATCCGGCGAATTTTTGCTACAGTGTTCACATATATAATTATGTGTCACTATCGTACCAAGACTAGAATCATTTCGGATGTATATTATATTGCTTGAGGGCTATTTTCTTAACCCAGTCTTCTTCCTCGGAATACATCATCCCACAAAACTCTTTATCCAATGAGAATTCTTTATTCCATTCGCTTCTTTCGACAGTATACGTTTCTGTTATATTTGGAAACACTTTGCAAAAATCATCCACCTCGTCTCGGACCTGTTTAAAATGAAGCACTTCACCGAAAAAATCTTCACCGGCTTGTATAGCTTGTTTCCAAAGTCTTTTGTAAAAGAAATCGTAAATTGCATAGTCTGCAAATGCATAACGGCGGTATAGCTTCCGGTCACGTGGTTTTGGAAGAGTTAACTTCCGGTCCCAACCACGTGTGTGCAGTCGTCTGTAGAGTATATCTTTCAAGCTCCAGTTAAACATCCGACGGAGCAGAACTATGGATTCGTCGAAAAACTCTGAGATTATCACTAGATGAAATTCTTTATCAAGCTTTTTTACATACTCTTTCATTGCAGTTTTGTTTCTTTTCATAATAATTTCATCAGGAGTCCCAAACTCTGCTGCCTGGCGATTGTTTATCCACGAAAACCGCGGGCTTTTTGCAGTTTCGTATTTAAGTGGATCTTGTAAATACTGTTGAATAGGATTTACTTTAGAAATATTATACACGTATTTTGGTGCCATGTAATTCATGCTAGATTTAAACTGCTGATATGGCTCCCGAATGATACCTACATACACGGAATCACTGTGAAGAAATTTGCCAAAAGCTGTTTTATTATAAATCACGTGACTAGTCATGATGTCGAATGATTTATTCAGCCGAGGATGGATCTGTTTCTCGGTCAGCGTATCTGTTGAACTGACAATGTTCAACCACTTTGGCAAAACGAACGTTAAACCCCGAGTCATTCCGAATCGGAAAAAGATTGAAGTAGCTGTTCCACTTGCTGCTTTGTGAACCTTGAGAAAAGCAAAATGGCGGACCTGTCTTCCGTCTGAGAAAATGCGTACGCCTTGCGGAACCGGAAATACCTCCCGGCATGATTTCTTCAAAATATTTTGCGCATGCTCAATCGCTGTCAGTTCACGACCATGTATGTTATTGTACTGATTGGTGACTTGAATCAACTGCATTGTTGCAAACATGGCTACAACTACCATAAGACCGACGACCATACATCTGAAATAACGTGAAGTAAAAATTATTAGAAAATATTGAACTAAATTTTGGATCGGAAATTAGGGTAAACCATATGGGCCTGTCGGACCGTATTTGGTACAAAAACGAATATGGTACAAATTTGTACCATATTCGGCCGAATATGGTACAACTGTCTAATTGTACCATATACGTATCTGCAGTTTTGGGGTAAAATGCCTGACCAAATATGGTACAAACTTGTACCATATTCGGATGAAAAATGTACCACATTCGTTCCGAATATGGTACACACTCATCATCGTCATCATCATCATCATCATCATCATCATCGTTATCTCATCATCATCACCATCATCATCATTATCATCATCATCATCATCATCATCATCATCATCATCAGCATCATCATCATCATCATCATCATAATCATCATCATCGGCAGCCGGTAATCATTGGCGTCAACATAATAAAAAACTTTTTTCATCATCATCATTATAATCATTATCATCGGCCGATAAGCATCGCAGTTATCATCATCACAATCATCAAACCCCAATCATCATCACCATTGTCATCATCATCAATTACATCATCATCTTCACCATAAACACCATCATCATCATCGTCACCATTAACGCCATTATCATCATCATCGTCATGATGATGACAAAAGTTTTGATGATGATGACGACGATCAAAATTACCGTCATCATCATCATCACAAACTTTTATCATCATTGTCATCATCATCACCATCATTATCACCACAATCATCAAGGTCATCATCATCATCAACACCATCATCATCATCACCATTATCATCATCGTAATGAAGATCACAAAAATGTGATGATGATAACTGCGATGTTTTTCGGTCGATGGTGATGATGATGACAAAAGTTTTGTAATGATGATAACGACGGTCAGCACATCATCATCATCATAATCTACCGATAAAAATCGCCGTCAGCATCATCAAAACACATTTGTCATCATAATCATCATCATTATAATAATCATCATCGACCGATAAACATCGCTGTCATAATCATCAAAATACGTTTGTTATCATCATCATCATCATCATCATCACATCAATTATCAACACCCCAATGATCATCATCGTTGTTATCTTCACCAACACCACCATCATCATCACCATCAAAACCAACATCATCATTCTTTACAATTCTCTTGAATATTGAGTAAAAAATCGGACCAATTTTTTCGTATTCAAATAAAAAAAAGTTTAGGGTCGGGCGAAAAAAATAGGTAGGGTCGGGTCACCGGAACCAGACAATTTTTTTTCTTTTCGCCTAATGTTTAGGAATACAGTCACACCTGTCTAAAGCAGCCAGTCAAACATCCTTATTTTTGGAGAGATATATTCATTTAAAAGAGCTCAAAATCTCTTAAATCGGATTTTGGTGAAAATACACTTTCGAAAAAAAAAGTTTTAAAAATTTGAAAATTGCTATTAATGATCTAGATTGACCCAAACAATGCACGAAATCATTAATATGGCTGACGCGACGTCATTCGACCAATCGAATGCGACGTCGACATTCCTGCAACGACGTTTGCTTAAAGCAATCATATCTGGACAAAACCTACCAATTATTATTAAAATGTATTAAAATATAAGCATTAATACCGAGGGGTATTAAACGATCAAATTTTCCAAGAAGCGCTGGCGCGCTTCATGGATTTGCTCGCCTACCTTTACCCTTACAAGTTCACACTCTATGAACATAACCAAAATGCGATAATCCTCAAACTTTTACAGAGTTACCTGGAGCAAGCACGTCTCTAGTCTTAGAGTACTAGTACTTAGTAACCAGTACTAAGCAGATACATTCGCCAGTAATTGACAACTGCCCTACTTGAAACAGCGGTAGGGGAAGAATGGCCGTAGAAATCATTTCGTGACCAATCTCCACGAAAGTATCTGGCCCGCCCGGGAATCGAACCCAGGCCGCCTGCGTGCCAATCTGACGCGCAACCGACTGAGCTAGCCGGCGAAACAGTTACACAACCAGCAAAATCCATGTAAAGTGTGGTTAGGTTAGCTGTTTCTGTTACTGCTAGTTACGACGACGACGACGACGACGACGACGACGATGATGATGATGATGATGATGATGATGATGATGATGATGATGATGATACTTTTGTCACTTCCAATATTAGGTTAATACAATGTATTTGAGTTTGAAAAAAAGTTTACACATCGGCAGACTATTTCATTTATTAAGAAATACATAATTTATGTACCATATACGTAGGCCATTTTCATTTTATGAGTTTTTTTGGTATGTACCAAATACGTTTTGGCGAGCATAGAAAAACTTATTCCAACCGAATATGGTACAATGTTTGTACCATATTCGGTCGAAAATTGTACCATATTCGGTCCGAATATGGTACATTTGTACCATATTCGACCGAATATGGTACATTTGTACCATATTCGTTTTTGTACCAAATACGGTCCAACATGGGCCTAGATTGATCAAGAATTGCAAACATTTTTATAGTTGCCAACATTTTTATAGCTTACACACTCAAAACATATGTACCTTTAGCGCAAGTGATTGCAAGCGAATGTCAAAAAAATATCAAGGATGCAAAAACGTGGACAATGTATTTTAATCCTTAAAGTATATAGACATTTTGTAGTTTCTCAAAAAAATTGGTATTTGTTAATATCGAACAATGTAGCAGGCTAATTATTTTAGATGCCGTTTACGAAATCATATGTTTGTAACACTGCATAAGTTCATTTAAGAAAAAATGATTATACAGCAGTAATATCTGTTGTTAATATTTTAACAACTATAATCATATGAACCGCGTCACGACAAAAACAACATAGTGCGTTTGCGACCAGCATGGATCCAGATTAGCCTGCGCATCCGCGCAGTCTGATCAGGATCCATGCTGTTCGCTTACCAACCCTATTACAAGTAGAGAAACTATAGTGAACACCATGGATCCTGATCTGCGCAGCACTGTTCGCCATTAAGCAAATGTTTTTGAGATGAATGAGTTTTGTCCAGATTGAAAGATAGACAGGTCCATTAAAGATATTTATACCGTGGAAATGGTCAGATTAATTTAAATTACCTTGTATTCCACTTCATAATTTCTGTCACAAACTACGTCAGCCGCATGAATCTTCAATACCAGTCTGAAATTAAACAATCTTCAACTATATTTAAACTGTTAACCAATCATATTTAAATAAATCCTGTCATGTTACATGAATAATTAAAAAATAATTGTAAAATATAAAAAATGCAGTCAGAATACAATATACAATTTTTTTTAATTCCAACAAAAAAAAACACTTTCTGTTTTCTCCTAATACACCCTATATTCAACTAGTGAACTTCTTTTCTTTCGGGGCTGAGATCGGCTTGTAAATTATCACTTTTTCCGTTTCTATGGATATTTGCTTAGTGATAATTGCTACGACAATCCGTAAGATCGTTGTATACGTCTTCTCGATAATTATATGCCTTAAAGTTAAAAAGAAAAGAACGAAAAATTCAATATAATGATTTAAAGTTGTAAATCAATTCATAGCGGATGCATTCCGAAAAACGTGTTGTATGTTTTACTGGCATGATATATCAGAGTAAACAATGGAATGAACTAGGCAAAAAATGATATAAAACGGAACAATGGTATAAAAATCTAACAAAATTAGATTAAATGGTTGCATAAATCAGACAAAATTAGAAGAAACGATGGTATAAAACAGACAAAATTAGATGAAACGATAACATAAATCAGACAAATTTAGAGGAAACGATAGCATAAATCAGACAAAATTAGAGGAAACGGTAGCAAAAAGAAGACAAAAGTAGACAAAACGATAGCATAAATCAGACAAAAATTAAAGGAAACGAATGCATAAAAAAGACAAAATTAGTGGAAACGGTGGTAAAAATCAGACACAATTAGACGAAACGATAGCATAAATTAGACAAAATTAGAAGAAACGATGGTATAAATCAGACAAAATTAGATGAAACGGTAGCATAAATAAGACAAAATTAGAAGAAACGATGGTATAAATCAGACAAAATTAGATGAAACGATAGCATAAATCAGACAAAATTAGAGGAAACGAAGGCCTATTAAGACAAAATTAGAGAAAACAGTGGTATAAATCAGACTAAATTAGACGAAACGATAGCATAAATCAGACAAAATTAGACAAAACGATAGCATAAATCAGACAAAATTAGAGGAAACGAAGGCATAAAAAAGACAAAATTAGAGGAAACGATGGTATAAATCAGACAAAAATAGAGGAAACTAAGGCATAAAAAAGACAAAATTAGAGGAAACGGTGGTATAAATCAGACAAAATTAGATGAAACGATAGCATAAATCAGACAAAATTAGACAAAACGATAGCATAGACAAAATTAGAAGAAACGGTGGTATAAATCAGTAGAGGTATAAATCAGACAAAAATAGAGGAAACTAAGGCATAAAAAAGACAAAATAAGGGGAAACGGTGGTATAAATCAGACATAATACGACACAACAATGGTATGACGAAACAATGGTACAGGACAATTACTAGTCTTATAATGCGCACCAGGTATTTTTCCCTAATGTGGTAAAAGGGTGGCGGTTGATAGATTTTTAAATACCCGAGAAGAAAAGACCGGAAAAATATTATATTTCTCTTATTATTTTTTTTCCAAAAAGTTCATACAATTATAGTATCGCATGTGCTTAATTGAAAGAAAAGTGAAAAGACGATAATTATGACATTTTTAAGGCAGAATGCCTCCAGACTTATGTTAATTTTCATGAACATTTGAAAATGTTTTCAAAAAGTATAATACTGTGGAGAGTACAAAGAAAGTAATTAACACAGCAAACGGCACTTACCATATACGTAATTTACCAAAATGAGATCAAAGTATGCAAAAGATTGCCCTTATCGTGTTAGTCACGCAATTGAAATATGGTGATAAATACTGCAAAATCAGTCAATAATAAAACATAGCATGTAAATTATTTCTTGAGACTTTTTGCACAATGTTTTTTTATTTATTATTTTTTTTCTTTTGTTGTTGTTGAAAATTTTGCTACTTAATCAGTATCATCTCTTGAAGAATGTTGGTTTTTTAACACACAGAGGGTATTTTGCACTAATGCACGGGAGCTCGAGTAATCGATAAGACTGCCAGTTTATTGGGGAAGATAAGGGATATCGAACTCGCCGTCCCTGGATTTGCAGTCAGTCAGTGTTACCACTTGACAATTGAGCCCGCTCTAAAAATAACGTTTTCCATACAAAACAGAGTTCTTTTTACACATATAAAAACTTTGATATCAAGAGACAGGGCGTGAAGTGTTTGGACACTTGGTTCAAGTGAGCTAAATGGTTTGCAAAGTTTACAAATAGGCCTAACGCCAGTCGAATTTAGTTAGGGTAAAAGGAATTGTGTGTTACTGTGTAACCTATAAAAATGAAAATAAAACTAAATGTTATCATATGTCTTGTTAGCGCAGTAGGTAGAGCAACCGTGTCGGTAATGTGTTTTACCCGTACAGGCAGAAGTTTGAGTAATGCTGAGACACATTTTTTTTTACCCAAGCACAGTCAATTGTTCAGAAAACAAGTTTGACCGGTTTTTTTTATATATTATAAGAAGAAAACAAAAAGGAAAAGGAAAAATAACTAAATAATAATGATAAAAAACAGAGCAAGAATAAAAAAAACTGTGGTTATAAAATGGCACTACGTGGGGTTCGAACCTATGAGTACAAAACATTAAAAGCTACAAATACTTCGATCTACCGGCAGAGCCATAATTAACGGTAATCTGTAAGAATTGTGCTATATAGTATATGGAGGCCTAAGTGTTTACTTTTCCTATATCGGATAATAATCCAGATAACCCCGTTTTTGGACTTTCCCGTGTACCGTTAAGACCTAATTATCATCCTAGGACAGTATTTATAAATATTTAAAAAATGTGCATTCATTAATACAATGCTTCCGTAACAAAAATATATAAATGTTTATATAAATGTTCTATGATTTCTTTCCACAACTTTTACGATAATTTTGATGTTACGATTCATCTTAAACTATTGAAAAGCAAGGCAAATCTCAGATAATGCAGATGCCACTTTGAAATAAAAAAAAAGGTTCATAGCAGAGTCCGGAAAAGTAAAGGGAGAGGTGGCAGTTTTGTCTGGGTGGCATCCTCGGAAATTCAAGTATTTCCCCCCAAACCTCTCTCTCGGTATAACGACCATGTCCCATGTCCCCATTCCCATTCCATGACACATAGACGAGCTTTCTTCACAATCTTGTATAAATTTATTAGAAGTAGACCAATAGGCGATAACATAGGACTTTTAACAAATTAGATACATTTAAGGACGGCCTTAAATATTAAAAAGACACCAGGAAAAAAACCCATCTCCTGATCAAGAAGTCATCATAAATTCTATGAATGCATGAGACAATTTTAACTAAATCAAACACTCTATCAATGATCAACTTTACCCTGTCATTGGAGGGAAAAATGTTACATAATTTTCGTGATATCAGCGGTATGAAATAAAAACATAGATACGTACAGACTATTATATACATGTTATAAGCTTAAGCAGCGTGCCTCAAAATTCGTCTTTATTTTCATGAAAATTGTTAAAAAAATATATTTAAAAGTAAAGTATTTAGAAGTGAATGAAGAAATTAATCACGCATTTCAAGCAGCAATTGCAAGCCATGTTAATTACCAAAAATAGGTCAAAATTAGTATAAACAGCCTTTACTGCCTTAATCACGCAGTAGAAATATGGTGATAAATACATATACTGCAAAATCATTGCAACATATTCAATAACAAAAACACCTAAAGGTTGACCAATATTTTTCGTATCTATCAACGAAATTTCTATGTTTTGAACTGTAGCGAGATTTTAAGTGCAATTCAATATATCCTTTATGAAGAATATTTGTTATTGCACATTTTTGTTATCTAGAAAAGTATACTTTACTTGCCCCTATACAGATTATATTTGTGCTACTGGTCTAGTTATGGTTAGGTATGGTGTCTTTAATGTGCCATGTTATTTCGCTCGTCGGCACACGACTATTCGTAACGATGTGACACTCGACAACCTAAATTGACATTACGATATACTACATGCTTTCTAAACTCGAAAAAAATATGTATATATATATATATATATATATTAAGAATTGATCTTAAACTCGTTGAATTGCTGTTCCAGTATGCATAGTTCCAGTGTTTCTTATTACAAATACAGTCCCGTAATTTCCCTGCACTTTGTCTTTCTGTCATTTCACACTGTCGCTTTGTCACTTCACTATGTCTTATGTCATTTCACACCGTTGCTTTGTCACTTCACGTTGTCTTTTTGTCATTTCACACCGTCGCTATGTCACCTCAAATTGTCTTTGTGTCATTTCACACCGTCGCTAAGTCGCCTCACATTTTCTTTATGTCATTTCACACTGTCGCTTTGTCAGTTCATATTGTCCTTATGTGATTTCACACCGTCGCTTTGTCACTTCACATTGTCTTTATGTCATTTCACACCGTCGCTATGTCACTTCACATTGTCTTGATGTCCTTTCACACCGTCGCTATGTCACTTCACATTGTCTTTATGTCATTTCACACCGTCGCTTTGTCACTTCACATTGTCTTTATGTCATTTCATACCGTCGCTATTTCACTTCACATTGTCTTTATGTCATTTCACACCGTCGCTTTGTCACTTCACATTGTCGATATGTCATTTCAAACCGTTGCTATGTCACTTCACAGTCTTTATTTCATCTTACACCGTCGCTTTGTCACTTCACATGGTCTTTATTTCATCTTACACCGTCGCTATGTCACTTCACATTGTCTTTATGTCATTTCATACCGTCGCTATATCACTTCACATTGTCTTTATGTCATTTTACACCGTCGCTTTGTCACTTCACATTGTCTTTATGTCATTTCACACCGTCGCTTTGTTGCTTCACAGTCTTTATGACATGTCACACACAGGCAAGAGTATCGGAATTGGGAAGAAAAATTATGACCAGATTAATAAAAAAAACACGTGTTCATCTTAAATGTGTCAAAAAAAGTCAAATATGCCCCCCCCCCCATTAAAAAATACTATAAGTTATCCCTAATTTATCTAATTCAAATAATCTGATTAGTAAATAAGTAATAGAAAGAGCATCGAAACACGAGGCTATCTGATTTGTACGAGGGGGCGTAGCCCCCGAGTATAAATCAGATTGCCGAGTGTTTTGGTGTTCTTTCTCTTTTGTATCATAGTCAAACATAACAACACGTTCCCTGTTGCCAGAATATGAAACCCCAGAAAAAAGTAACCAATGAACGAGCATCTTAATATGATATTTCTGCCGCTTTCCCTTTCTCTGCCGTCACAATAAGTAAACCCCAGCAAAAATGAGCCAATCAGCGGGCATGCTCTGGAGTGCGGGTAACTGATACCTGCACTCCAGTTACCGCACTGTGCGTGTATATGTATACGATTTAACTCTGACACTTTTTCAACAGAAAAGTCCCCAAACTATGATACAACTAACAAAGGAACACAGTCATGCCAATGTTTGTGGTTAAATCTATTGTTATTCAAATAAAATATCAGGGCAGGGATCTATCATTTAATCAGTATCTATTGCGTTCATGTCAGCTATGGATCAACAAAAATGTTCGAGACTGCACGCACCTGACGTAACGCCATATGGGCTTTGGTTTGAATAATGTTCCACACTGAACCAAAGATCTCATTAAAAATTCAAATGTAAACCATCGTGTAATCAATATATTTCTCCAAATATGATACAAAATATGCCAATATCGTTCTACAATAAGTTTACAACATTTCACTGTAAGTATAAAATTTCTTTTATAACCTATGTCTTTCTTCCCATTCAATAATTTCTAAATCTGTATAAATGAATTAATGTTAACCACCGTGTGGTCAAAATATAAATCTTTTTCAAATTTCAATATAATTATCTAACATTTCAGTAGCTCCTTTTTGAACTCTACCGCTTCATTTGTCTTTTATCTACAAATACATCTACTACAATTCTAAATCGAGTTAAGATAGCAAATATAACGCCATTGTTGATATTACATTTCATTATAATAAGATTTAGGATAAAGGCGATGTCTTAACAAATTAAAGGTTGTCACGAAATTATTTGAACTGTTGAAAGACAGATTTCTGATAAAAACACGTGGCGAATAGAATTATTTCAACACAGTAATATCATTTTTTTAATTACTTCTTTTAGCGTTTGCGATTTTATAATTACATGTACTTCTTTTAGCGTTTGCAAAAAAAGCAAATTAGAAAAAAAAATGTTAATCTGTTGTTAACAATAGTAATGAAAACTACTATCAGTCGTGTGAAACTTGATGTTTGAATAGAAATGACTATGGATCCAACATTGTCAATTTAGCCTATTTTTAAATGTTTCAAGTCCTATCAAACCAATAGTTAGTCCTAATTATAAGACCTATACGTAACCTATTTCATATTTATCATTCATTAATCTGATATTTTACATTTTTCATTTTCCATCTTAACAGATCTTTGCAAAATCGTGTAGCAAAAAAATTGACATTAGACATCGATTTAGATCTAATGAATTTAAACAATTAAAACAGCGTGTATTTACATTAATTTTGACCTATTTATGAACAAAACTAAAAAATAAATACCTTTTAACAAAATAATTGAACTGTCACATCCGAAAAGTCATGATTAAATCCTCTCATTTAATTAAATTCCTTGTACAGCCGATATACAAATGGCCGCCATACAGTGCGCGAAATCTGATTGGCTAATTCAAATGCAAGCGTTTAAATGAGTCCAGAAGTTTCTAACGGAATATTTTTTCAACGAAATAATTGCCCATGCACCGTCAGTGTGTTTGAATATATTTTTCCGTTCAAAAAATTGGAATCAATCTGTAAAACGCTTTACTTAACCAATATGGCCGATGAGCGAAATAGACTGATATTTATATTTTATTTTTAATTGATAAGTACATTGTTTGAAAGTTTTTGTTAATGATAGACCATGCAATTGAAAGAACAGAAGATAAGCTTTTGAATAAAGCTTGAGAGGCAAGTCAACAGACATTTTTTTAATTTTTCAAAATGCTACGCGTTTATTAGCAATAACTATTAGACGTCAGGCTTGACCAACATAAAACTATAACAAGCCTGTAACGTCTAATCTATTGGACTAACCAATAGTGTGTTCTGTCTAGCCTCTTTTTTATTTTTCGAGTCTAAAATATCCGTATCAAAACTATATTGTATTCGAAGTAACAAAGTTCTGTCATAATGTTGGAAATTGTGAAGTGTGTGAAATAAAGAAGTCATTATACAGTGCTGCATAAAATATTGATTCGTTTTGACAGCTTTTTGAAACTTAATTTCAAGAAAGAAAAAATTCCGTCTCGCCTTATGTAAACATACCGTTTTACAACGTTTACAATTAAAATTACTCAAGCGAAAGATTCCGATTCCGCGTTACTTAATATAGATCATTTTAGCCGTGTCGCGACGGGGCCAACGTGGTGGGTTTGCGGGCGGCATGGGTCCGGACCGGCCTGCGCGTCCGCGCGGTCTGGTCGGGATCCATGCTGTTCGCTTACAAACCCTATTACAAGTAGAGAAACTGTTAGCGAGCAGCGTGGATCCTGATCGGACTGCGCGGGTGCGGGGGCTGGTCTGGGTCCATGCTGGTCGCGGGCCCATTGTGTTGGTTTTGTCGTGACGCGGCTCATTTGTGCTCAGACCGGGTATGTCACGCGGATATAGGTCACAGACTACACGCGCATTAGTCTGTAAATATAAAATTAGGAGCGTTGCCTTACGTAACGCTTCATCGACATAACAAGACAAATTGAGACAATAATAAAAATCGTTCGGTGTACATTAATTTCGTTTCAATCAACTTTTCTCCGCCTATAAGTTTTTTTTTATTTTATCTTTTTTGAATCAATTTGTTATATTTGAATATAATAATTTTCTCACACTTTCTCGTAGCCTGAAGTTATATACAAGAAAAGAAACTTTAAATCAACTTTTCCTTTTCTTTATGAAAGGATCCTCACTTTTCGAAAATGCGATCTTTGCTAGCCTACTTTGTCCTATTTTTTACCCGAATTTAATTGTTTCATAATTTTTGAAATGCATCATGTTGTCACTTTTTGTGAACTGATGAAAAATAAAGATATTTTGACTTTGACTTTGGTACACATTTGCAAAACATACATATTGGACTCGGGTAACATCTCGTCCAATATAGTTTTGGCAGGCTCGCTATATACGCGCCTTATAGAATTTAGTATTGATAGCCTTGAGATATTTCGCAGACGGTCATATCAGCGCTTTATTGTTATTTTATTAAATGTCTATTATGCCCGAGAAATGCTTTTTATCTTATTTCTCAAAAGCTTTTAATTTTTGATGTCCTCTTATAGTTTCCAGAACTTTACTCATTGTCCAAGTACCTGAACCATCTTTTGCATCTGTTTTTTTTTGTTGTTAATCAACATATTTATAGTAATTTGGTATTTTGTATGGAAGTCAAAATACTACTTTGTTTACATTTTGCTACTTTTATGACAAATAATGTCACATCCAGTGCTACTTTCTTCAGGTGATAAGTATCTAACATACCACAAAACCATCATTTAAACATTATAAAACTCACGTTTGCCCTTTCTAAAGTCAGTCAAAAAATATTCATTTCCGAGCATAATGTGCCTTTAAATGAACCAACAAGAAACAATTCACAAATAGATACTTCTATAACAACACTGTTATCATAAGTTTACACACTTTTTTATCCAAATAAACATATAAATACACTTACTAAATTCTCTCAAATTAATGTCCTGTCTTAATTATGAGACATGACGTTATTCATCGAGGTGATTAGATATGACATTATAGCTCATTTATCATGATATGTAGAAAGCTGTAAATTATATAAAAACGATATTTTCATATTGTTAACTCACCTTATATTTAGTAAAATCCCATCTCTGATATAGCAACTTTATAACTTCAGTTCCATATATTTTGTGATTTTCTACAAGTAAAACATGGTCCGTAAAGTAAGTATTTTCCACCGCCGTATGTAACTTTAACTATTAAATTGAACAATTACCAGTCATTGATTTTTTAATCGTGCATTATTCGTTTCGTGCGATAAACGTGCATTGTTAGCAAATGAACTGTTAAGAGTTTTGATTATTATTATTATAATCATTTAGATATCGATAACTTTTTGTTGTTGTTTGTTTGTTTTTTTCATTCAAAATAACGCCGTGTTATAATGAACTAACAGTTACTTTTTCTTGAGTTTGCGGTAACACCTATGTTGTTTAGCTGTCAAGATTTTGACATCATGTTTACATACGGACAAGACATTATTAAATACACGACTAAACGACTATCCCAGCATATTAAGGCCATTTCGGCGTCACATTATTTTCACAACAGTAACATAAACTCATTAAAACTTCCCGGTTGCACATATTTGAATCCAGCCAACGGTATCTTGACCATAAAAAGTTGTAAATTGAACGAAATTATCCATTTATTCCTTTAAAGTGGTGTTTAAACAATTGCTAACAGAGACCTTATCTTATACCACGTTGATCACCTTTCGTAATGTTCAACTCTCGCACTAAATTTAAGGTCATATCTAATTAATTTGTTTGGTTTACGTGTTTAGTTCAATAGACCAAATATCAATGCAAAACGAAAAGAACGAAAAGATGAAGAGATAAGCCCTTCCGTTTGTAAAATCTATAATGTTGTTTTCTGCTCGATATTTCAATAAGGAAATATGAAAAAACAATAAATTGCAAATTTATTAAACGGTGTATTCGTGAGTGGTGGGGTATGTACGTATTATTTGCCTACAGATTGTCCGTTTTTTAATGCTGCCGTTCAATTGTTTAAAACATGACATCACACAGGTATTAGTAACATGCAGGTTACACCTGGCTGATTTCTGAGTAATCGTTTTTGCGTTTTATATTCGTGCGACTGCACGTGCTCGAGCGCCCAGATGACAATAAAGACACAAGCGCCCAGATGACAATGAAGTGACTTGTCTGAATATTTTGGCGGGAAAAACGACATGCTGGTCGTTTCATTACATGACATATATAAGCCTTTAGGATCTGTTATACAAGATCACATTTATTATTATGCAGTACAATTTTTTTTCTGATGCAGAAAATACAGTTATTATCATTTCGTTAAATATTCATATCGCTGAGACTAGCGGAATCACCAAAGCATTCAAAGGCTTATGGGTCTGAATATGACTATTGTCTATTTTCAGAGCTTCCTATCCGTGTATGATAATTTTAATAACGACAGTTGCTGGTCGAAAAGAACCTGACTTCCGGCGATGAGAGTCAAGTGGTTCGAAACCAATCGGCCGATTACAGTGGTATATATCAATTATATTCTTATTATATAAATTTACATGATCATGCCATATATCAGATAAAAACATCTGCCACAGATAACCTTCTGTCGTTTAAAACTGTTATCTTTCAGAAAGTTTTTTTTTACATACTTGCTTAAGATCTTTATCTTTATTAAATAAAATATAATCATGCGGTATTAAGAATAAGACAATGTGTAAATGTCACAGGCGTGTAAATCTAGTGATTTTTGTTGCCATTTATCAAGTTGATATAAAATGCATATTAGAATATTAACTTATTCATCAATATTATAAATCTATCTATTTTCTGTTCCATATACCATTTTGTTTCAATGATCAATGCATTATCCAGCACATACTCGTACAAACGTTGATTAGATTGGTTAAATCTATGGTTAAGTCAGATTTAAGGTTAAACTTTGCTTAACCGATTGTATATAGATTTGAATAAATTTAACCAGCGTAAATTTCTAGTTAATATAACCCACGTGATATTTTAACCAAAATGCAACCAGAAATAAAATGGCTGCCGTCTGTAGGCTATATTTCGTCTCAACTTTTGTCCATCATGTCCGTCTTATTACAGATAAAAGTCAATTTCCACGTTTACAGTAGTGTTAAATCACTGAGTAAACTAAGCAGAATTGGTCAAAGGTTATGACGTAACGTCAAAAATACAGTGACGTACAATTAAGAAATAATATATCCCAAACTGTGATTTTATTGCTCAATAACATCACTGTTTGGAGTTCGGATGCGAGGATACGCCCTCGTGATATAATGATGCGCATCAGAACGACAAACAGTGTGTTATCAAGCAATAAAATCACCGATTTGGATATATTATTTGATTTCGATTCTAACACGACATCAACAAATTAATGCTGCCGTACCTGATATTTAGCTAAATTGCGCCTGATTTGTTTCCGTACTTATTGTCAGCGCGTCACATTTTTAGTGGTTACGTCACATGTATAATGATTACGTCACATGTCTAAATATAGAACGTCAAACAGTGATTTTATAGCATAATAACACACACTTTCGGTTTTTCTATGTTCAATAGGGAGAAATGCGGGTCGTGTTAGAATTCGCAAGAATACATAGATTATCAGATATTTAAAACTGGTTATTTTCATTTTTATTATTATTATTATTATTATTATTATTAATTATTATTATTATATTATTATTATTATTATTATTATAATTATTATTATTATTATTATTAATTATTATCATTATTATTATTATTATTATTATTATTATCATTATTATTATTATTATTAATTATTATTATTATTATTATTATTATTATTATTATTATTATTATTATTATCAGCACATGATGAATGACCTTCCATTTTCGACCAATCGTACCACGTACCAGTAATTTTATTTTCTTTCGCGCTATGTTTCAGAATGTTTATTTTATCTGTTAATATTATACAATACTAAGGATTTTCTCAACTTCATATTATGGTAATAACCGAGCTGTCCCGGCTGTATTACTTTTACAGAATTCAGAGTAGCTTCATCGCTGTTGCAAATATCTTTTATGTGGAGAAGTTGGCAGTTTCTTGCGGAGAAAATAATTTAATACTTATAAATGACACAGGAACGCCTGTAATATAAACTACCAGCGAATATCTTTCAGAAATACTTAAAACTGGGGCTATTCAAATCAACAGATAAGAGAAACAAAGTGAAATATAACATAAACCAAATAAAGCAAATATTGGCCTAAAAACACCGACTTTCATAAATGAAACTTTTTCACGGAGATAACTAAGTGTTCAAACATTCTTTTATCTCAAATCCTTTCCATGACATCATTGTGCCTTGATAGAAAAGAAAGTATATCTTGAGCCAGAGATAACGAAAATAAAATCTTAATGCCGAACAATTTAAATTGAAAATCGGTGAAGAATTGCATACCAAGCGCTGTACATTAGATTGCATCATAAATTCAAAGGCCGTAAAGATATCTTGAAAATGGAGCCGACCAACAGTCAATTTGTTTTAAAGGCGCATCATGTCTCAGAAAAAAAAATCCCTCTTTAGAAATGTCAAACATGAGTTTAATAAAATTTAAATAATAAAGTCCGTCAAAATAAAAGAAGCCGCCACGTTATTAATGCCAAAAAATAAATTTGTTGTAAAGGCACATCATGTCTCAGAAAGGATTTTTTTGTTGCTTTCTTTAGGAAAGTCATATATGAGTTTTATAACATTTCGTTTAAGAAAAGGACGCAGTCTTTGTTTTTATGCTAAAAGTCGATTTGTTTTAAAGGCACATCATTTCCCAGAAATGATTGAAAATTTCATCCTTTAGAAAGGTCAAATGTGAGTTGTATAACATTCAAATAATGGTTTTTAAATCATCGTGCTTATCACCTTAATGGGAACTTATTGCTCATAAAAGTAGCAAAATGTAAACACAGTAGTTTTTTTCACTTCCATATTAAATACTAAGTAACTAGAACTGTACTTATTGTCAAAAAGCAACAGAACCAAAAGATGGTACAGATAATTTGCCAATGAGTCACTTTTTGGAAACTAAAACAGGAAATAAATAAAATTTGAAAGGTTTTGCGAAATAGAAATAAAAGCATTTCTGGGGCATATTTGGCCTTTAAGATATTTTTCGCGTGCATAATTCATTATGCGGGTATGAACTTTATAGTCTGAAGAGTTCCTTCCCCTGACACTATATTTTAGATGTAAAGAAAAACAGAGTTTTTGTAAACTTGTTATTTGTATTGTACTGCTTTTCAGGAAACTCTTGAACTTTTATTGTATTTGCTTGTATACCTGAACAAACTGTCGAGTTATTATAGCATGACACACTGACCTTATTAAATTATAATTGTCGTAAAATATAAAGTTAATGTTTTAACTTCAAACGACTAGTTTAATAATTTTAAAAATGTGTTCTTATTTTGAGAAGGTTGTAAATTTATTGTTTTAAATCTGTCTTACAATTTTTATGATTCTGTTAACTGAAACATCCATATGCTTTCGGCAGAGATCCAAATGGAAATTACATTGTATATATTCACTATAGAGTCTCTCATAACTGTAAAAAAGTTCCGAAAACTTCGTCATTTTATGATCAGTGAAAAATACATTCATATGTATTGTCACCGTTTCCCTGTATTTCCGCACAGTAGGAAAGAAATTAAAACTGAAATTCGTCTTCAATCTCTCTGCTTTGACAAACAGTACAAAACTTTTAAATTTATTTCAAATATATGTTATATACATTCGACATTACTACAGGGAACCATCTCATATGCTATACCATTACAGTCTGATTCCCGGCCTGTACTGCAATGTCGGAGACGCTCCATCGTTCCATTTCCGCACGACACAGAGCAGTCACCGTTAAACCAGTGTGACCATTCTGGAAAATTAGATATATGCCTAGATATTCTCATGTGATACTCGCATGAAATGAGATTCATTATCTAAAAAAAGGGCCAATGGGCTTCAAAGTCACTTACAAGTAATTATTACACTTAATAATATACAAAATTTATAATTCAGTTAATTGGCCAATGAGTAACTTTTGAAAGTATAAAATTAAAATAAGAACATCAAAAATTAAAACGTTTTTGCGAAATAAGAATAAAAGCATTTCTGAGGCATAATTGGCCTTTAAAATATCGAGAAAAAATGTTTGTTAAGTATTAAAATTTGATAAAATGTATTTGAGCGGCTTAGTCTAAAAAAGACAACACGAATTGTTTTACCTGCACACGGACCAACTGTGCATTCATGCATTTCTTTACTGTTGCCATTGCAAGGTGCCCCATTTCCAACAGGCGCTGGGTTGTCGCACATCCGGTCACGTGTTATAACTCCAAGTCCACACGACACTGAACAGGAAGACCACGTGTTCCAGTTACTCCAACGGCCATCGACTTTAAGAAGAATAAAATCAAGGAGTCAGTGTATAAGGGTCTAAAAACGGTGATCGATTTAGAATAGACAAAAACGGAATTCTCAAAGAACGCCTAAAAACGACAAAATGTGTTTGAGCTCGCACATGGAAACTTAGCCTATTTTTATGATCTGTCTTTATAGAGAAATTTTTAAGTGCTATCAAAATAATGAGTGCTAAAATGAAAGTTTCTATGTATATTCATAATATGTGAATGCTAATTTTGAAAATATAAATTCATTCATCGAGGCAAAGTTTATACAGAGTGGTTTACCTTATTTTTGGTAACTTAATTTATTCAAAATGCTCGTTAGTGCTTGTTTGGTATGTGTACTGGCATAAAAATACGGTAAAGTAACGAAGACTTACTCGAGCATGGGGCGACGTTGCAAGATGTTGCCTCATTACTGTTTCCGTAGCAACCATGCCCACCACCGGAAGGCGGCGGATTATTACACGACCTGTAACGCGACCTGGTTCCCTTGCCACACAAACGACTACATACACTATACTGGCTCCAGCTTCCCCAATTGCCGTTGATAACTGGAGCTTGTATGGAAGAGTAAATGCTGTGTTTTAATATCTTTATCAGAATATTTTTCATTTTAACTTCATAGACAATGCAGTTACATAATCTTCTTTTAAAATCTTGTAAAATCTTCTGAATTATTAAAAAAATTCGATAAAAGTTCAATGTATTGTCATGCTGTTTTTTTATTTTTGTTGTTGTTGTTTTGTGTGAGAGTTTTGTTGTTGTTGTTGTTGTTGTTTTTATCATACAAGATATATTGCTTGTCAGCGAAAACTATGAGAGCGAGTATACACAAGGAAATATAAAATGATATTCATCCTCTATATTTCAAAGGACTGCAACATTGACAATGTCTTTGTTCATCTTTTAAATGTATTTCTTACAACTGTATATCGACTCACGGTCCTGTACCACGTGACCTTTTGTGATCTGCATAGGCGCAGAAAACCGATTCAAAAATCGATCCAATCCGCAATATCTTTTTTTTTTAAAAATCCATTATTATTTAAGGGATAAAGTTTAGAGCCCGCTCATTCAAGTGAGTAGAATGTTTTGAGACAATTTTTTTTTTGTCGTAAGTGAAACAACGTAAATAAGTTTCTGATTGCTGGACCTACCGAATCGGCAAATCACAAGATATCACGTGGTGTAGGCACCGTCTGGTCGAGTCTATTTTGTAATTTACAGAGAGATAGTACTAAATGTTGAATCATTGTTACCTGGTGTACTGCAGTGTCCGCATGTCTTTTTGCAGTAGGTTTTTGACCATTCAGCATAAACAGTGCAATAATCTAAAGGGCACGGCACACCAGGGTTATACGTGTCAACACAGGAATCTGTGTATAAATGATAAAATCTATCACGTGAGCATATATGTAAATGAAACAGGATAAATATTAAAATCTGGATTTAAGAATTACCTTTGGTGTGTTGCGTTTGGTACAAAATACATAAAAAGTCATTTCTTTTCCGGAAATAAGTACATGTACAATCTAAATGTTTTACTTACATCTATCACCGTTAAAATGAAGCTAACAGTGAGTATCGAACTCCTGGCTTGACATAGTTAATACTTATACAGTAAATCTGAAAATCTTCCTGAATAGGCCCGTATGTTATGGTCTGGCGGAAAGTGCTATGGCCTTGATACCTTAATTGTTACACAGATTTACGACTATGCATTATAAGTTTCATAAAACTGGTTCCGATACAAGTACAGTAATAATAAGAAATATGTATACCACAGTCTGCCGGTAAACATGGTCTAAATTCAATTGCATAGCCTTTGCAGTAACTTCCCTGCACGTGCTGTTTGTTGTCATCATAGCAATAACGTTGACGTTGCTTACTCCCGTTAACGCAGTCCGTACATGTTGTGAAAGAGGCCCATGGACCCCATTGATATACAATACCAACTGTAATTGGTGATAATATATTTTGTTTATTCTACTCGCATTCGAATGAACAATATGTTGAGTTGATTATTGTCTAATTTTACATGTTTCGTCGAATATTAAAAAATAAAATTTAGCTAATTTTCGATAACCCATCTGACTTCTCATTAAAGTTAAAGAACGCGAATAATTTGGTTGACATGTGACTTCATTTTTTAATGAAAAAACTTTTAACAGTTTTACCAAGAAATAATGTTCAAAGTATTTACGCATTTACATAATGTAAGGGTGGGGATTAGGGTGGGAGAGGATGGTGTTGGGTAATAGAATTATCAATTAAGTACTTACGCAAATATCGTTTGCCAATAGTGTGTACTGGTACACCTATGTGAATAATCAAAGACATTAATTAATAATACAGTTACAGTAGATATTTTATATCTTATAATAATTTAACTATGATAACAGTAAAAAGTCAATGAATTCTGCGTTGTTCACATGTACATGTTTATACTAAAAACAATCTATCCCTACACTAAATAATGTTGTAATAGGCAAGTGGTTTTGTTTCTGTTATTGTTGTTGTTGTTGTTATTGTTGTTTTTCATAATTGATCTAATGGCTTGGTATTGTCTTGCAATAAACATATAATGCTAAGGAACATATTTTACCCATTTCACAAAAAAAAATTGTTTTGTATTATTCATATTTTACATGTATTATTTAGTTGCAATGAAATATTATTGAACTAAAGAAAACAATCTTACCGTCATTTTTAATAGAACAGAAATTTAATAACGTTTATATCATGTAATTAACTGACGGACGGACGAAAGAAAGAACAAAAAAATGAATGAATGAATTTTCATTGCAGTAAAAACATATTTTCCGTGCTTTCACTATTATCTTGCCGGACTTCTTTCTTCTAAATTTATACAATACACAAAATTAAAAAGTATAAGTCTTAAGAATTGCAAGATCAAAGAAATATATAATAAACAGAAAAAAGTCAAGTGTTTCTATAAATATGGGATTTATCTTCATCGAGTGGTATGAAAATTAATATTTCACGAGTGGGGGTAACCTCGAGTGACATATGATTATTTTCATATTTGAGATTTTAAAATTCAAAATATAATTTTTAAGATTATACTTACGGTCTTGGCACTGTTCACCCATGAAACCACCCGCACAGGCGCAAGTATTTGGTAAGATACATTTCCCGCCATTTTGACAATTGGGCTTGCAGACAGCTGAAGAAAATAAAACAAATATAAACCAATCAAATATATATTACTTTTTGTGAGATAAAATTTATATCGATTCTTCCCGTTACTATTTTTCCGTAACTATGGTTCTATTGATTCCGTTACTATGACAACAGAAAACACAATATAATGGACTGAATTTACTATTTATAGCTCAATGTCTACGTATAGTATACAGATTTGTTTCTGGCAACTTACGGATACAGTCGGATATGTTCTTGCCAGGAGGGTCGAACCATTCCCCGAACATCTGGTCGCATTCCCGTTTCTCTGACGTCATTCCAGATGGGAACTGGTACCCGGCATCGCATGACGCCTTGCAAGAACTGGAAACAAAATTTACTCAGTAGATCTAAGCACAAGCTATCCAAGCGTCAGATAACGTTGATGAAGATACGGATCTGTTTTTGCCATAAAATGAACATGTTTATATTGAAAGAAAGGATTTGTTTGAACTAATTTTGTACATTTGAACTTACTAGAATGGAAATCCTGACCCACAAACTATGGTGCCGTGACCAGGTGCTGGTAAAGGTTGACAATATCTCGCTGTGAAAAAAATGAATCGAAATGTATTGAACTTGCATTACTTCAACATATATGTTTTAAAAAAAGTAGCTACTGACATTTAAATGATTTACTTTTTTTGTCTTAATCACTAAAATGTAGATAAAAAAACCGTCAGATTATTTTTATTGAAAAGCGCAGTCTTAGTTTTGTGTATGTAACGCTTTATTTCACCGTTGATGTTTTTATACATAGACTTATATGTTCTATTGAATACACGATAAAGCGTCAATAACGGAAAATAAAACAGAAATTGTTATGAATAACTTTCTTTCAATTTCAGCATCTCAGCACGATTAAGGTATAGTGGCTGGCAGAACTTACGGATACAGTCGGATATGTTCTTGCCAGGAGGGCCGAACCATTCCCCGAACATCTGGTCGCATTCCCGTTTGTCTGACGTCATTCCAGATGGAAACTGGTACCCGGCATCGCACGACGCCGTGCAAGAACTGGAAACAAAATTTACTCATAAGTTTTGGACACAACTTGTTAGCATGCAAAACTCTTTCTGAGAGTTTAGTTATATATCAGGATAGCGTTCTTTAAGATATAAATGTATATTTCTACAAAATGAACATGTTTATATTAAAAAGAAAGGATTTGTTTGAACTAATTTTGAAAATTTGAACTTACTAAAATGGAAATCCTGGCGCACAAGCTATGGTACCGTGAGCGGGTGCTTGTAAAGGTTTGCAAATATCGGTGTCTGTAACTTCAATAAATGGAAATATTTTGAAGTTACATAACTTTAACATTTATATCAATAATAACTAGCTTCACACATTTTAGTAATTTACCATAATTTTCCTTACTTCTTAAGTGTAAATAAACAACAACAATCAAATAGGACCTAATATAGAACCCTGCGGAACACCCTAAGACGTAATGATCTCAGACAAGGACTTGAAACCATCATCAATTGAACACGCACCAGAAACGATGCACACACTGGTCCATGTTTTAAATATTTTCCGTTTTAATTCTGTCGTTCGTAGATCGTATTCTTAATTTTATTAGAAAAATAAAATTTTAAAGTAATGTTAAGCATACCTAGCCTTTTGTCTGCGTCAATACATGATGTAGGCAAGACCAGTACTGAAAATAATTCAAAATATTTGGTGTCAGATAGTTTGTGTCAGGCAAGGTTTATTTTCTACTCAATAAATTAAAGCATTATCATTTAAAGGCAGAATATGCCCCAGAAACGAATAAAATTTTCGTTCTTTAGAAAGGAAAAATAGGAGGATTTCGAGGTAAAGCAACTCCTCTCAACAACAACCTAACGTTTTGTCTGCCAAAGGGCGATGCTCTACAGATATTATATATAACCGGATATTTGTCGCTTCTTTATGAGACAAAAAAAAAGACTTTTTTTTAATATAACAATTTAAAAAAAAAATTATTTCAGCTCGATGAAGAGAAGTAAGCTAATAGTTCATTTTGAACACTCTCGAATCAAGCGGTATTGGTGTCATACGAGGAAGCATAGTCTTGAAGTATGTAGTACTCAAACCCATGTTCCTTGGGTTCAGATGCAGGCCCCTTTACCACTCGGTCATTGCTCCTCTTGTACAGCTTTTGTCTTCAAATTCATGAAGAGTAAACTGTATTTTCTGCAAAGCCAATATAGTCATTGCCAACCGGCCATATTATAATATAATATCATAGTTAGGGGACCTTTTTATTGAGAGTTAAATCGCATAATCATACATGCACAATGCGTTAACTGGAGTGCAGGAATTATTTATCCGAACTCTAGTCACCTCACTATCTGTACATAGATCATGCTCGTTGATTGGCTATATTTTTTCTGGGGTTTATTTACTAGTATAATGACAACAGGGAAAGAGATAATGATAGAAAAATCATATTTTGATGCTCGTACATTTGTTCATTTATTCTGGGGTTTCATAATTTGACGACAAGGAAAGTGTTTTTATTTTTGCCTATGATACAAAAGAGAAAGAATACCAAAAACACTTGGATACGCCCCCTCGTACAAATAAGATTGCTTCGTGTTCCAATGCTCTTTCTTAAATGGTTTCCTTTAAAGTCTAACCTGTGATATACACGATATGAACTTTCAAAACTCAACCAATCGCAACTCAATAAACAAAATGATAATAAACATTAACTGACTTCACATTTTTCATCTATATACGGTTCCAGAGGAAGATTTCAAATAATTATTTTAATATCAAAAGTGGTTAAACAATAAATGATATTAAAGAAATATAAGTAAAGAATAAATTACCTAAATATACATGTAGTAGAAATTTTATCGTCGCCATGTTTGTATGAAAACTAAGTACTAACTGATAACAGCTCTCTATCTTTTGTCTCAAATGTTATAATTTTCTATAGGTCGCATAGTATTGTCCTTAATTTTGACATTTAGTTAAAAAAAGAAATCAAAGAGCTGTCGTTAAAATGTTATACTTTTTTGTAAACTCTTGCATGAATAAAATATTTTCTAAATGCTGAATTTACTTATATTGTCACGATTTCATCTTCATGAATTGACGATTTCAGTTTATTAATTCACGATTTCAACTTCATGAAGTTATGTTTTGAACTTCATGATTTCAACTTCGTCACTTTACGATTTTTCAATTTTTTGAAGATGGCTTCCGAAAAGCATCTTGCCTGTTTAAGGTTGTTTTTTTAATTGTATCATAGTTTGGAGACCTTTCTGTTGAAAATGTGTCAGGGTTAAATCGTATACATATACATGCACAGTCCGGTAACTGGAGCGCGGGTATTAGTTACCCGCACTCCAGAGCATGCCCATTGATTGGCTCATTTTTGCTGGGGTTTACATATTGTGACGGCAGAGAAAGGGAAAGCGACAGAAATGTCATATTCAGATGTTCGTTCATTGGTTCAATTTTGCCGGGGTTTCATATTCTGACAACAGGGAACGTGATTTTATGCTTGACTATGATACAAAAGAGAAAGAACACCAAAACACTTGGGAATCTGATTAATACTCGGGGGCTACGCCCCCTCGTACAAATCAGATAGCCTCGTGTTTCGGTGCTCTTTCTATTACTAAGTGTACCATTATTTTGACCTATGTGAGATAGTCAATTTTTACGTTTTTAGGTTTTTGGGTCTAAGTAGAGTTCCTTTTAGAGTTTGGTTTATGTGTTTTCTTAGATAAATTTGCGTGTGTTGAATAGCACGTGTACGGAAGCCCTTTGAGGCCGTTTTGAGTTAGAAGTTAGAGCTTAGATGTTAGATCTTAGAACTTAGATCTTAGCTCTTAGAGGTTCCACATAGGCGGGAAAACGCCATATTGACTGAAAGATAGACATGGAGATATTTGTGAGGTAACTTCTTATTATGTTTCTTTAATTTTATACTTTTTGTACATTGCAGATATATAGCTATTATGTTAAAAGATAAGATGATTATATCTGTATAATCTAAAAGGCGTGTTAAAAAGCAACCAATTTCAATAGCAGGCAAAGGTGGCTATTTAGCCCTTTGCAGCTATTTTAGACAAACCTTGCAACAAAAAAGACCTACGATGACGGACCCAAGCGTCAAGCTGATATATGTTGCCTGTATTTGAGTAATTCATTGATTGTAAAATTTGGATTGTGTAACTGTCAGTTTTGGTTTTGTAATGTTTACAAAAATATTTTGATTATTTTTCCTATTGAAGAATCTTCTTTATTCCTTTTCCGGACGACGAAAATGATGTTATATGGACATGTATGTTTGGAATTAGCTGTCATATAACCAGTATCCAGTGCTGTGATTATGGATTTAGCTGTCATTCTCAAAGGAGCGCATTTAACAAGACTAGAACTGATTAAAAAATAACTTATTCATAGTTGATTTAACAAGGATATTAAACTAATACTGAAAGCCGACGCAAAACACGTACACCTGAGGACGAAGCAAGGGACCCAATTATTGTAGCAATCCAGAGGAGTGCCAAGTGTGAAAGCGTAATACTATCTTGACTCATTAAACAAACTAGACATTTTACAGAAATGTATATCAAAGTTCTTTGTACATCATTTTGGTTTAATTTTCAAGTTCATGTGCATGTATGTTTTGAATATAACTGACGGATTCAGAAACGATATGAAATCTTATTAAACTTTTAACTAAACGTTTAAAAATAAGTTTTATTATTCTTTCGACATTACGACTAGTGAAGTTTTGTAAGGAGCCAACCATTACAAAAGTACTAGGCGGGTCTGTATTTCCATTTTTTCTTTAGAATAATTCTTAGCAGATCATCCATTAATAGCGTACCTCAGCATGAGGTATTGTGAGTTGCATTTTCCATACAACAATATTCACCATTTTATTATTATCATTTAAACATAAGCTGATAGTTAATGTTGACCTACATATATCATTGATCTTTACCAAAAGTATTATTGTAACAGAGCTGAAGTATTAACTTTATTTTGAGTGAGTATGTGGGTATGCTATCGACAAGTTCCTGTCGAGATTGTGATATTCTTTTTTTGTGATAAATGAGTGTCTTTTATCATGTTTTGCAGTTTACTGTAACTTTATTAAAGTTTTATGTATGAGAAGGCAGTTATATTTCCTTCTTTAAGCTCTTGCAAAACCGATTTTTAAAGTTCTAATGTCTAAGTTCTAATGTCTAAGTTCTAATATCTAAGTTCTAAGAACTAAGTTCTAAGAACTAAGTTCTAATAACTAAGTTCTAATAACTAAGTTCCAACTTCTAAGTTCTAATGTCTAAATTCTAAGATAGTTGAACCTCGTTTAGGCCACTTTGTAGGTCTTTCACTGGCACGGGCCCCTTTGGACCACCTATTTAAAGCCCTTCATTTCAAACAATCAAGACGAGGTCTCCGCTTGGATATACGTCTATTTTGTCTGCATCGCATTGTTAAACATGTTGGCCAGCACATTTAAACATGCGTCTAAAAGACAGGCGCACGTACAGAAGTATCTCGTGAAGTTCTTCTGATGCTGAAACTTCTTTGATTCAAAGCCCCCTCCCACACGCATACACACACTAACAAAAAATAAACGTACTGCATAGTCAGAAACACTTTTGCACTCTGTGATTTGACTTATCACTGAAATTTAAGGGAACATACAACTATAGCCATAATAATGGCATGTTGTTTTTATAAAATCGCCATGGACTCTTTCATCATTTTTTGCCCACTTTACATCTAGTATTATAGCTTGTTATGCAACATTTGCTTGATAAGCCATCATTTGGTACGTTGCCAATGTGACGAACATAACATTATATTATGCCAATTCCGTAATGCGATTCCTTTTGAATGTACTGATGGCTCCAATTTGTAGCCAAGAGCTGGTCACACCATCAAACATTTGTGCACAATTATGCCCCTTTTGTAACCTTATTGTAGAAATGGCAATTTGTAGACAAATCTTTGTCTTTAAATATACTTATATAATAATTATGGTAACCACAATCAGTAACAACCCGCTGATAATTTCATCAAATATTAATACAGAAGTGCACGTCGTTAAAATTAAGAAAAATGGTTATCTTTAATTTAAGTGGCCACTGCGAGCTGGACCTAGTAGAAATGGAAACACGGTAGGATTGACCGCTTATGCAAAGTACACATACATATAATTTTAAATGTAAAATAGACAAACAATTTGATCGGGACATTTATTGAAGCTCTGGTTTGTACACTAGACGTTCCTCATTAACAGTAACTTGAAACAGTTCAATAGGTTTTTCAACAAGATTCCTGGTATCATTTACGAAAATGATATATATTGGGACACACAGGTTGAAGGCTCTGAAATAACATAAATCTTATTTTTTAATTATAATATAATTAATAATATAATTTCTATAATAATTAATTAAGAAATAGTATAATTTATAATTATGAATGCCAACACGAAACCCAATTACATGCTCATTGTAAGTCATTGTTAATGCTCCACCATCATCTGTTAAATTCAAGGTACAATTGATGTTAACGATTCGTTTTATAGATGTCAAAAGCTTTCTGTTACTCGACGACAACACTCAAACATGTTTCTCGGTTTGGTTACAATGAAGCCGTTTAAGAGATGCATAAAGTTCTTGCATATATGTATGTCTTCTTGATTAACACGATGACCAAAATATGCACACCATAGATTCCAGGTACAAACAATATTATATCAGGTCTTCCGTAAGGTATTTCAAAATTATTTTGAGTTTAGCTTATCATTTAGATTTCTTCTAGGGTCAAATTCATTAAACAATGTCTTAGGTATTCAATGTGTACACGATTTGTTATATCCAAACTTTGAAATCAGTAAGATCCTTGAAAAAAGAAATCCACCAGTGCAACCTTGTATACGAAGTTATCCCTACCAGGATTCTAAACGCTGATTTGCTACAATCTTTCCATACATAAAACTTTTCAACCTTGATACGCTTTCTGTGCCGTTTTATCTGAAAAATGGTTGAAGCAATGCTACCGTTGAATTTTCATTTCCTCCATCACAACGACTTCGAAGGAGCCTTGGGGCAATTTCTATTTTGTTAATGTGTCTGGGTAGTATGACGCTATCACTGCAAGCAATTTGTCGCTGTTTGATACTAAGAGCCATAACATAAGTCGACTGTACAGATCGATCATTGGATGCAGAATCAAGATGGCTTTAACTTATATGTAAACAAAGTTTATCAATTCTAATCTTGTTAAATGCGCACCTCTGAGAATGACAGTTAAATCTATGATTACAACACTTGTTCCTGGTGTAATAACAAAGAGCCAAATTCCAATCGTCCATGCCCATTTAGAGACCATTTTCGTCGTCCGGAAAAGGGATGAAGAAGATTCTGCAATAGGAAATATAATCAAATTATTTAAATACACATTAGAAAACATTTTTAAAATTATTATAACACTAACAGATACACAATTATACATGATAATTGGGGAATTACACAAATACAGACAACATATATCAGTTTCGACACTTGTGCCCTTGTCGTAGATTTTTGTTGTAGCCAGGTTCGGCAAAAATAGCTGAACTGGCTAAAATAGCCGCTCATGGAGTTTGTCCCAGTCTGTTGAAGACAGACTGTCGTCTTTGCCTGCCATTGAAATTGGTTGTTTTTTTTACCCAGATATAATCATTAATCTTTTAACGTACTAGCTATATCTCTAACAATACTTTAAATTACAAAAATAAAATTCAAGAAATATAATAAAAAGTTTGCCTCACACATCTTCTTGTCTATTGTGCAGTCAATATGGCGTTTTCCCGCCTTTACGGAACCTCTAAGTTCTAAGAGCTAAGACCTAAGTTCTAAGATATAAGTTCCAAGATCTAACATCTAAGTTCTAACTTCTAACACAAA